ACTTTGGGAGACTGAGGTGGGAGGATCACCCAAGGTCAGGAGTTCGAGACCAGCCTGGGCAATGTGGTGAAACCCCGTCTCTACAAAAAATTAGCCAGGGGTGGTGGCATGTGCCTGTGGTCCCAGCTACTTAGGAGGCTGAGGTGGGAGGGGTCGCTTGAGCCTGGGGAAGTCGAGGCTGCAGTGAGCTGAGGCCATGCAGTGGAGTGAGACCCTGTCTCTCTCTCTCTCACACGCACACACACAAAAGGATAACTTGCTGATATTTGAGTAACACCAGTTGTAAAACTAAAAAGGTGCCATTGTGTCACCTTAACCTAAAACAAGACTTGCTTCCTATAACTGATGTCAGCGTCTGCCTCCCCCTCTTCTCACTCTGTACCTACATTCAAAGCCCCTCTCACAAGCCCAACACCCCCATCTCCCCAGCAGTCCCCTCCACTGAGGAGAGCCGTAGTTCTGTTGAGAAGTGTCAGAGTTGATAAGCTAAGGGTAGAGTCACAGATGTTCTTGTTCAGTCTGCTTAACAGAAAGGCTGTTCCAACGGTAGGGGGCGAGGAAGAGACCATGTTTCATTCCTAGTTTAAACATTGGAAGTCCAGGTATTTTGAAGATTACCTCATTTTTCAAAGGTAAAACCCCTCAATCTTCAGCCCAGGAAAATGGGACGCCTCACGCCTCTTTTTTTTTTTTTTTTTTTTTGAGACGGAGTCTCGCTCTGTCGCCCAGGCTGGAGTGCAGTGGCTAGATCTCAGCTCACTGCAAGCTCCGCCTCCCGGGTTCACGCCATTCTCCTGCCTCAGCCTCTTCTGAGCTGGGACTACAGGCGCCCGCCACCTCGCCCGGCTAGTTTTTTGTATTTTTTAGTAGAGATGGGGTTTCACCGTGTTAGCCAGGATGGTCTTGATCTCCTGACCTCGTGATCCGCCCGCCTCGGCCTCCCAAAGTGCTGGGATTACAGGCTTGAGCCACCGCGCCCAGCTTCATGCCTCATTTTAGCTGGGTGTCCTGAGTAGCTGAGACTACAGCTAATTTTTATATTTTTTTGTAGAGACAGGATCTTGCTATGTTGCCCAGGCTGGACTAGAACTCCTGGGCTCTAGCAGTTCTTCTCAGCCTCCCAAAGTGCTGAGATTTTAGGTGTGAGCCACCGCACCTAGCTGGTATCAGTTTTTGTACATTATTTTGTATGTGTTCATTTTCCTCATCTCTTGACTTATTTCCAGTAGTTTCTACATTGGAAGCAATTGGATTAAGGTGGAGAAGGAGAATGGATTTATTGATTTAATCCAGAGGCACTTTATGCACTAGTATATTATTTTCTTTTTCTTTTTCTTTTTTTTTTTGAGATGGAGTCTCGCTCTGTCGCTGAGGCTGGAGTGTAGTGCTCTTGAGATGAAGCAAGAGCATGCCTTGTAGGAGAAGGTGACAGAAGGAGAGAGCGTGAACGTGATCTTGGCTCACTGCAACCTCCGCTTCCTGGGTTCAAGAGATTCTCCTGTCTCAGCCTCCCGACTAGCTGGGATTACAGGCATGTGCCACCACACCTGCCTGAGTTTTGTAGTTTTAGTGGAGACAGCATTTCCCCATGTTGGCCAGGCTGGTCTCGAACTCCTGACCTCAGGTGATCCATCTGTGTCAGCCTCCCAGAGTGCTGGGATTATAGTTGTGAGCCACTGCGACAGGCCTATTTTCTATTTTGGTTTATCAAAAGAGCACTCAGAGATAAGAACCCTTTCACAGAGAGTGAGCCTTGGGTAGTGAAATGATACCAGATTTGGAATCAGAAGTCCTGGCGCTTGGCACAGGTCTGCCCATGGCTGAGGATGACTCTAGGACAGTTACTTCCTGTATGGGCCTCAGCTTCTCAGATGTTAAGGCCCACGACCTCCCCCACCACGTGTCTTTATAGGATGTATAGATAGAAAAGGCCTGTGTTTACCTATTTGCACATTAGCTCTTTGCATTGGTCTTGACATTTTACTTTTATTTCATCATTTTGTTGCATGTACTATATTTTTGTGAAAACATTCAGGGTGTAAATAAATAACACATTCACCATTTCTTCCATAGATCCCAGCTCTCCTGTTGGCTTCGTGCTTGGGGTAGATCTTCTTCACATATTCCCCCTGGAAGGAGCAACTTTTCTGTGCCCTGCTGATGTGACTGACCCGAGAACCTCACAGAGAATCCTCGAGGTGCTTCCTGGTGGGAGAGCAGATGTGATTCTGAGCGACATGGCGCCCAATGCCACAGGGTTCCGGGACCTCGATCATGACAGGCTCATCAGCCTGTGCCTGACCCTTCTCAGCATGACCCCAGACATCCTGCAACCTCGGGGAACATTCCTTTGTAAAACCTGGGCTGGAAGTCAAAGCCATCGGTTACAGAGGAGACTGACAGAGGAATTCCAGAATGTAAGGATCATCAAACCTGAAGCCAGCAGAAAAGAGTCATCAGAAGTGTACTTCTTGGCCACACAGTACCAGGGAAGGAAGGGCGCTGTGAAGCAGTGAGGATTTCTTGTGCCATTTTCATAATGGTCATTAGCTTATTTTAAGCTCGAAACGTAGCCTGAGCTCCTTCCGGAAGAGTTCCTGGGAGATCTGAGCTGATTTTGGAGATGGAACAGGACAAGTGGGGAGTCTCTTTCTTTTTTTTTTTTTTGAGACGGAGTCTCGCTCTGTCTCCCAGGCTGGAGTGCAGTGGCGCGATCTCCACTCACTGCAAGCTCCGCCTCCCAGGTTCACGCCATTCTCCTGCCTCAGCCTCCCGTGTGGCTGGGACTACAGGCGCCTGCCACCGCGCCCGGCTAATTTTTGTATTTTTAGTATTTGGGGTTTCACCGTGTTAGTCAGAATGGTCTCGATCTCCTGACCTCGTGATCCGCCCATCTCGGCCTCCCAAAGTGCTGGGATTACAGGCGTGAGCCAGCGCGCCCGGCTGGGAGTCTCTTTCTTTCTCTCTCTCTTTTTAACCAAAAAGAGATGACAAAACTAAGTTCAGGGGCCATGGAAAATGAAAAAGTCCTCTATATTGATTTGTGAAGAGAAAGTTATCAAGAGAAAGAGGTGAGGATGGAAGGATGAAGAGAGACAGACTGTGGGAAGAATCAGAAGGAATCCGCTGAGGCAGGGATGGGTGTGCCCATGTGTGCCTTGACGGGACTTCATCTTACAGACTGTTAAACTGTCACACAGAAACAGGCTTTCCACTGCTCCTCCCAGAGCACCATGCACAGGTTTCCAGTTCTTAGTGTGGCTATTTAAAGTAGAAAATCTGGGGGCTGGGTGAGGCCACTCACACCTATAATCCCAGAAGGCTGAGGCTGGGGGATTCTTGAAGTCAGAAGTTCAAGACCAACCTGGGCAACATAGCAACACCCACTGTCTCTACAAAAATGAAAAAACAAAAAACCAAACCAAAAGAAAAATCTGAAATTTCCATCTGGGGATTAAATTCTTTCTTTCTGGTGAGTAATCTAGAGATTCATGCATTCTTCAAGCAGCAGAAGTTCCCAGAGCGATTAGGGAAGACGTATGGTCTGAATTTACTCATGCACTGGGTGTGCTTTGGTTTTCGCTGGAAATTTGTATCTGTGTCTGGACTCCCAAGAACATAAAGGTAATTGCCAAAGCAAGCAGTGATGTGGTGTGTTTATTTTCTTTTACTCTTCTAGGAACTTGATGCAGCTTTATATTTATTTATTTATTTATTTATTTATTTATTTATTTTTTTTTTTTTGAGACGGAGTCTCGCTCTGCCACCCAGGCTGGAGTGCAGTGGCCGGATCTCAGCTCACTGCAAGCTCCGCCTCCCGGGTTCACGCCATTCTCCTGCCTCAGCCTCCCGAGTAGCTGGGACTACAGGCGCCTGCCACCTCGCCCGGCTAGTTTTTTGTAGTTTTTAGTGGAGACGGGGTTTCACAGTGTCAGCCAGGATGGTCTCGATCTCCTGACCTCGTGATCCGCCCGTCTCGGCCTCCCAAAGTGCTGGGATTACAGGCTTGAGCCACCGCGCCCGGCCGCAGCTTTATATTTAATAAAATAGAAGTTGCATTATTGTAAGGGACTTTCATGCTTTTAAGTTTTGTTTTTTTAAAACTGGCTTCCTCAAAGCCATTTCCTGGAGGTGTACTCATCCCTCAAGAAGTGTGTTGACTGTAACTATGATTCAATTCCAAGCACCAGTGCGGTAAGTCTGGAAACCCAGGAATCGCCATCAGGGATCTGGGGCTTGGTCCAGCTCCCCAAAGGAAACTGCAGGTCAGATGTTTTGACTTGTTTTTTTTTTTGAAACGGAGTCTCGCTCTGTCGCCCAGGCTGGAGTGCCTTGAAACGGCTCACTGTAAGCTCCACCTCCCGGGGTTCACGCCATTCTGCCTCAGTCTCCTGAGTACATGGGACTACAGGCACCCACCACCAAGCCCGGCTAATTTTTTTTTTTTTGTATTTTTAGTAGAGACGGGGTTTCACCGTGTTAGTCAAGAAGGTCTTGATCTCCTGACCTCGTGATCCACCCGCCTCGGCCTGCCAAAGTGCTGGGATTACAGGCGTGAGGCACGGCGCCCGGCCGCCAGATGTTTTGGCTTTTCATTTTATTTCTGGTTGCAGTCAGGTAGTTAAGTCCAGGGACTCTCTTGCCCTACTCCACCTCGTTCTCATTCCCTTTCATTTCCGGGGCACACAACTTGGAAGTCTTTTTCTCTGGAAGAAGAAAAATTCAATGTAGACCCTTAGGAACAGCATCTTCTTAGAGGGAAGCCAGGGACTGGGCAGAGGTGGGAAGAAGAGAGGAGGCACACTCTTCTCAGGAAGGCTCCAAATTGAAGGATAGACGAAGGTTACCGTAATAATAGTGGGGCCTGACCTCACCCCGTTGGATTTTGTGCCTTGGCTTGCAGAGCATTAGGAGGTAGCCTAGTAGCATAAATTGCATTTCTAGTGGGCCCAGATAAAAGCAAAATAACGGATTGATTCAAGCTGATACTGAGTAGCAAAATTTTGGGAAGAGTCAACAATGCAAGTTTGTTGCAGGAGGCTGCTATGGGCGCGGCTATTCCACACATTACGGCGCGAGGCGAAAGCCTTAGTGGAAGCGCGTCCTGCGCGGGGTCGGGGACCCCGACTGCGCCTTGGCCCGGCCTTCGGTTCCGAGTCCTTTCCGTGTGTAGTCTCCCGGGGGTGGCGGCTCTGGGTGCGGGCACGGAGGCCCCAGGACCAGCTGGTGCGAAGACTCGGTTCTTTACGGCCCGGTTCCCACCCAGGTCTCGCGAGAGCGCAGGCGCAAGTGTCGCGATAAGTGGGCGCGGGCGGAGCGGAGGGAGATCCGAGCGGCGGCGGCAAGTGGGCTGCGGGAGACTGAGGTGAGCGGCCCGGCCTTCGCGGGCGGCGGGGTTCTGGGGTCCTGGGGTCCCGGGGGTGGCAAGGGCGGGGCCGAGGGCCCGGACCGGGTGTGCCCGCCAGGGTGGGGCACAAGGACCCTGGACCCCGTGCCTCAGGACCGCGCGCCCGCCCCGTCTCCCATGGGCGCGCTCCCCTCTCTGTGCTCTCCCCTCCTCTCTCCTCCTCTCCCCACTCCCCTGTCCCCACTCCGCTGTCCCCACGCCCCACTTCGGGCTGTGCTGGGTACAGCGGGCCCCTCGCCTGGGTTTCCGCAGCCGTCCCTTGTGCCAGGGCGGGCGGCCGAGGGGCGCGTGCTCGTGGCCCCAGCCCCGGGGTCCGGGTGCCCCCCGTGGGGGTCCCCGTGCCCGCCGTGGGGGTCTCCGGGCTAGGGTGCCGGCGCGCCGAGGAAGGGGCCTGAGCTGGCGCCTGGTGGAGAAGTCGGGGCTGCAGGGGCTCTTGGCATCCTCGTGGCTCGCGCGGGCCCGCTCTCAGGAAGGGGGCGTGTGGGCCCGGTTTCCCCTCGGGGATGGCAGGGGTCGCCCTGGTCTCTTCTGGGCAATGGAGGAATTGGGCTGTGGAGCCTCCCTGCAGGCGGGCCTGCCTCTGCGGGGCTCGCAGCCTGGGGAGCTCAGGGCTCTGCTTGCAGCAGGCCGAGGTTCTTGTTCAATGGAAACTCAGAAACTGTGCAGCTGCAGGAGTTCTACCTTTGGTTGTTAAACGCGCTTGGCTGTTCCCCTTGTTAGGGCTGGTGGGCCGGCCTGCGTGAGACCATCGTCAGCGCAGGTGTTAGGGGTGCAAAGTTCTTTGCTGCTGCTTGTCTTCAGCCTTCCAACGCCAGACAGACCCAAGTTCCCAATCTCCGTTCTGTAACTTTTTGAAGCTTCAGTTTCATCATCTCTAGAATCTGTGTAAAAAGACCTGATTCACCACCCTGTTAAGATTGAGCTTACAAATGTAGTGCTGGTCAACCTGCGGCTGCATTCCCATTATCTAGCAGTGGAAGACTTGAGGGATATTGACCCCATTCCCCACAACTTTGCAAGTAGATTTCACTGTCATGAGTTGACAGATGAGGAAGCTGAAGTTCAAGAAGTCTCCGTGCTCGGAAATGTCAGATACCTTTCTTTCCAGTACCTAGTTGAAAATAGTAGTAGTACTTATTAATGTCACTAGAAATAAACAATGAAAATTAGCACAGCTGTGATGATCATCTTTACTGTCACTGTTGCATGCCTCATTTCTGATTCCCAGAGGCCAGACTTTTTAAAAAATTAATTATTATTATTTTTTGAAACGGTGTCTTGCTCTGTTGTCCAGGCTGGAGTGCAGTGGTGCGATCTCAGCTCACTGCATGCAACCTCTGCCTCCTAGGTTCAAGCAATTCTCCTGTCCCAGCCTCCGGAGTAGCTGGGATTACAGGTGCATACCACCACATCCGGCTTTAATAGAGACAGGGTTTCACCATGTTGGCCAGGCTGGTCTCGAACTCCTGACCTCAGGTCATCTGCCCGTCTTGGCCTTGCAAAGTGCTGGGATTACAGGCATGAGCCACAGTGCCTGGCCTTAATTAATTAATTAATATTTATTTATTTTGAGGCACAGTCTTACTCTGTTACCCAATCTGGAGTGCAGTAGTGCGGTCTCAGCTCACTGCAACTTCCACCTCCCAGGTTCAAGCGTTTCTTGTGCCACAGCCTCCTGAATAGCTGGGATTACAGGCGCGCACCACCACACCCGGCTAGTGTTTGTATTTTATTAGAGATGGGATTTTGCCGTGTTGGCCAATCTGGTCTTGAACTCCTGACCTCAAGTGATCTGCCTGCCTCCACCTCCCAAAGTGCTGGGATTACAGGCGTGAGCCATCCCACCTGGGCAGGAGGCCATACTTTTTTGTGAGTGCTCCTGGTAGTTAGTTTCAGGCATCAGCTGACTGGATTCAGGAATTTCTAGAAACCTGGGAAAGCATCATTTTTGTTTCTGGGTGTGCCTGTGAGGGTGTTTCCAGAGGTGATGAGCTTGGGAGTCTGAGTGGACCAGGTGCTGAAGATCCACCCCCCAGTGTTGGGGGCACCATCCAAGAGCCTGGGGCCTGGAGAGGACAAAAACAGAAAAGACGAATGTGTCCATCTGCCTGCGGGAGCTGGGATACACCCTTCTTCTCCTCTCCTCAACAGCAGCACTCCAAGCTCACCGGCCTTTGGTCTCCAGGACTCGTTCCAGCAGTTCCTCGAACTGAGAATTACACCATCGGACCCCCTGGCTCTGAGGCCTTCAGACTTGGACTGTGTCACACTGCCAGGCTTCTAGGGCTCCAGCTTACAGACGGCCTGTTGTGGGACAGTCTCCCTAATCGTGTGAGTCCGTTTCCCTAATAATGCCCCTCTCGTGTGTCTGTCTCTGTCCTGTTGGCTCTGTCTCTCTGGAGAACCCTCTTACAGTGCTGTGGGAGGATGTGCCACCTGAGTGCTGAGCTCCGCCTCTTGGGCGCCAGCTGTCTGTGTGCAGCTGAGACTCAGTCGGTGGCTCGGTGGCGGGGATTTGGTGGCATGCTTTCTTGCTTCCATTTTTTGTCTGGTAAATTGGCAGCATGGCTCCCAGTTGCCTTTGAAGAATGTGGTTACAGACACTGGTGTATTATGGGCTCCAATGAGCGTTAGGGGAGTGGGGATGTCCAGAGGCCCCGCTGACTGCACAGCTGATGGCACGTAGAAAGGCTGGCCCTGACCAGTCCTTTGTCTGTTCCCAGAAGGAAAGCAACCATGGAAGACCTGGGGGAAAACACCACGGTTTTATCCACCCTGAGATCTTTGAACAACTTCATCTCTCAGCGGGTGGAGGGAGGATCTGGACTGGATATTTCCACCTCGGCCCCAGGTTCTCTGCAGATGCAGTACCAGCAGAGCATGCAGGTGAGTGGCATGTGCCTGGGTGGGAGTCTTCTCTGGGGAGACCCCTGGGCCCAGGCAGGGCCTGTTCAAGTGTTCTGTAGTTGAGGTGGGTCAGTATTAGCTCAGCCTAGAGACCAGCTGCTCATCTTCCAGGCCTCACTGTGGCCACTTCTCGTTTTGGGGCAGTAGCTGGAGGCTAGTTGGGGCCCTGAGCCATCCTGGCTCGAAGGCCTGCCTTGTTAGCACCCTGAGTGGGCCTGGCGCTCAGCATTGCATTCACACAAGTGCACCCACAGACCCTGGTGACAGGATCGGAAAGCCAGTTCGTTCATCTAATTGAGGACAGAACCCAAACTGCCTGGGAGTGTGAGCAGCAGGACCGTCGGGCAGGCTGTGTCGGAAACACAGTGCGGGAGTGCCCGGCAGCCCAGAGACAAAGCCACAGCCGTGAGCAGAAGGACGGGATGTTTTGTGGTCTCAGGCTGTAGAGGGCCATTTTCAGATTTTGGGGTGATTTTTACGGATTTCTTCTATAAAATAGTTGTATTTGGTTTCGTTACAAGTTCTTGGGGGATTGCTCACTGTAGACACAACTGCAGAGGACTCAGGTCTCCTGAAGGACTTCAGGATCCAAAGAGTGATGGGCCCAGCCCCACGTGGGGCTGGGATAACGGGGCCCCCGAGTGGTGGGGAGTGGAGTGCTGGGGAGTGCTGGCAAGTAGTGTCTCCAGCCTTGCCTGGGCCCTGTGGCTGCACAGGCTCCTCTAGACCCCTCTGCCTGGACCCTCTTTCCCAGTCCCTGCTGCAGGCCCCAGAGCCATTCTGTAGTCCTGTGCCCATTAGAGGAGGCTCTGGCTTCCTGTGCTCTCAGAGCCCAGATGAGGCCCTGCTGCATTTGGTAAAGCTGTGTGTGTGTGCATTTGTTTTGTTGCATAATTGAATTAATATGTGTTTATTAGAATGCTAGCTTGTGGCTGGATGTGGTGGCTCACGCCTGTAATCCCAGCAGTTTGGGAGGCCGAGATGGGCGGATCACGAGGTCAGGAGATCGAGACCATCCTGGCTAACATGGTGAAACCCTGTCTCTACTAAAAATACAAAAAATTAACTGGGCGTGGCACCTGTAGTCCCAGCTGCTCGGGAGGCTGAGGCAGGAGAATGGTGTGAACCCGGGAGGCGGAGCTTACAGTGAGCCGAGATCGCGCCACTGCACTCCAGCCTGGGCGACAGAGCGAGACCCCGTCTCAAAAAAGAAAAAAAAAGAAGAATGCTGGCTGCTAGCTTGCTTACTGCCGTTTCTTCATGAGGACAGTTTTGTATTCTGAGATTAGGTCACATATATATGTGTGTGTATGTATATATGTGATATGTATATGTAAATGCTCTTTTATGAAATTATGAAGGTAATAGATGGTTGTTGTTTTTATCACTGGCAAAATTAGAAGTTGCCAACTCTGAACTGGTTGCGGCGGCTCACGCCTAGAATCCCAGCACTTTGGGAGCCTGAGGTGGGTGGTTCACTTGAGGTCAGGAATTTGAGACCAGCCTGACCAACTTGGTGAAACCCCATCTCTACTAAAAATACAAAAATTAGGCGGGTGCGTACACCTGTCATCTCACCTACTCGGGAGGCTGAGGCAGGAGAATCGCTTGAACCCAGGAGGCAGAGGTTGCAGTGAGCTGAGATCACGCCACTGCCCTCCAGCCTGGATGACAGAGTTGGCAACTCTGGTCTGAAATGCTGTAATTTCCTTGTTGCAAATGTCTGGGACCTCTTGGCCTATCTGTCAAAGCTTTGGGATTCTAGTCTGTCTTGGACCTGAGAGGCCCCCAGTGCTCACTGTTAAGGGCCTTTCGGTGAGGGGATCTGTGATGGGGTGCGGTAGTCAGAGCGAGGTGGCGAGCAGAGTGATGTCGGTGAGCCCAGCCTTGGTCCCTGGCCCCTGTCACATCCCGTTTCTGGACTTTGTTGTGGTTCTTTCTCTCCTGCTGAGCCCCCGGCATGGCAGAGAGGGCCTGGAGTCCATGGCAGGCCGGGGAATGTGTGCTGTCTGGTTTATCACACATCTGTGTTGATTTAATGTAAGGGCAAGCTTTCAGTTGCTGTCTTTCAGTTGTAGTTAGCTCCAGGCAGAGGTGGCACACGGATCAGGTGTGTCTGGGACTCCTGGTCCCTGCCGGTCGTGCCCCCTGCAGGTGGGGTGCCCACCCTTCTCGAGAGGCTCAGGTTTGACTGCAGACACAGAAGTGAGACCAGGAAGGCTGCTGAGTTTGAAGGGCAGTCTTAGGAATGCCCAAACAGCGGCAGCTGGGAATCGAGACACGGTAACATAGTAAGAAAGGAAGCGTGGGCTTGGGCCACCAGAGAACACAGGTGGGAGGACAGAGAAACTTCCCTCCCCCGTCCCGGGCTTTCCTAGCCTTGGCATGCTTGGCATTTGGGTTGGGTAATTCTTTTTTTCTCAGGACTTTCTTGTGCATTGTGGGCTGTTGAACAACATCCCTGGCCTCTACCCCCTGGATGCCAGCCAGCAGCACACACATATGACCACCCTTCTGTGACAGTCAGGTGTCTCCAGACAGTGCCAGATGTTCCCAGGGGCAAAACTGGCCCTCACTGGGAACCACCACTCTACTCTGGTGCTTATCAAACTTTCACGTGCATGTGAATGCCCTGAGAATGTGTTTAAAAAGAAGTTTCTTTTTTTCTTTTGGAGACAGGGTCTTACTCTGTCATCCAGGCTGGAGTGCAGTGGTATAATGTTGGCTCACTGCAGCCTCCGTCTCCTGGGTTCAAGTGATTCTCCCACCTCAGCCTCCGGAGTAGCTGAGATTACAGGTGCGTACCACCATGCCCGGCTAATTTTTGTAGTTTTGACTAGAGACAGGGTTTCACCATGTTGGCCAGGCTAGTCTCGAACGCCTGACCTCAAGTGATGTACCCACTTTGGCCCCCGAACTACTGGGATTACAGGCATGAGCCACCGTGCCTGGCCTAGATTTTTTTTTTTTCCAAGACGAACTCCTGCCCTATCACCCAGGCTGGAGTGCAGTGGTGTGATCTTGGCTCACTGCAACCTCCACCTCCTGGGTTCAAGCATTTCTCCTGCCTCAGCCTCCTGAGTAGCTGGGATTACAGGTGTGCACCACTACGCTGGCTAATTTTTGTATTTTTAGTAGAGACGGGGTTTCCCCATGTTAGCCAGACTGATCTTGAACTCCCGGCCTCAAGTGATCCACCCGACTTGGCCTCCTGAAGTACTGGGATTACAGGCGTGAGCCACTGCGCCCAACCTAAAGAGAAGATTCTGATTGAATAGATCTGGGGTGTAGCCTGAGACTCTGCATTTGTTAAGTGCTGAGAGATGCTGCACTGCAAGGCTCTGGGCTATATGAAGAGTTGGTGACTGCCTTTTCCTCCAGCTGAGCAGGTCGTACCCAAAGGCCGACTCTGGAACTGTTTGGCAAGTCTTCTGGGGCTCTGTGAGGCTCAGCTCACCTGTAATCACTAGGCCTGTGTGGTAGGCAGGCTTCTGAGAGGGCCCCCAGATTCCAGGCTCTAGTGCACACTCACCTTCCTACTGCCTCCCAGGTTTAAGTCGATACTGACTAGGTATCATTGTGGGATTGTGCAAATGTAATTAAGGTCTCAGATCTGTTGACCTTGAGATAAGGAGATTACCTGGGTGGACTTGATCCACTCCCTGGGTGGGCTTGATCTGCTCACCAGAGCCCTTTAAGTCTCAGTCCAGACATCTGAGGCGGAGCAGTCAGAGACATGGCAGGAGCGGGATTTTACAAGGGAGATTGGACGTGGTTGATTTTGGAGAGGGAGAGGTCCATGTGGCAAGGGATGTGGGCAGCTCCTAGGAGTGGATGGCCGTACTGGGCTGGCAGCTGGTCGGGAAGGAGACCTCATTCTCCATCCCTGTGAGCTTGTGAGAGGATGCTGAGCTCTACCTGAGAACACGACCTGGTCAACTGCATTGATTTTTAGCCTGGGAGACCCTGTTCAGAGAACGCAGCCACCTACGTCTGGACTTCTGACCCACAGAGCCATTGGCTGGTAAATAAATGGGTGGCATTCGAGGCCATTGCGTTCACTAATATGCTTAATGTCATCTCAAAAGACGTCTTCCTCTTCCTAAGCTTTTTCACCTTCCCACTGCCTGCCACTCCCCGGTTCCCCAGCCTGGGGCCCGGTAGCTGGGGCACATCAAGAATTATCACAGGACCTGCGGGAATGGGTGCTCAGAGATGTGTCCGCTGCACTGAGTCACTCAACCTTGTTTGATGCAGTCACTGAGCATTCTGTTTTTCTTTGGGTATGTCCCTCTCAGCTGGAGGAAAGAGCAGAGCAGATCCGTTCGAAGTCTCACCTCATCCAGGTGGAGCGGGAGAAGATGCAGATGGAACTGAGTCACAAGAGGGCTCGAGTGGAGCTGGAGAGAGCGGCGAGCACCAGTGCCAGGAACTACGAGGTGGGTTCACGTGGGGCGAGGGTCAGCCCAGCCAGCCACTGAAGCAAGGGGACTGTGCACCGTACCTGCCAGGTCGTAAGAAATCAGATCCCAGTACCTGGGAGCAAGAGGGCTGTGCACGGTACCTGCCAGGTTATAAGAATTCAGATCGCAGCCCCTGGGAGCAAGGGGGCTGTGCATGGTACCTGCCAGGCCGTAGGAAATCAGAACCCAGCTGACTGGAAGCCTGACATGCCCTGTGTCACGGTTGCCAGGACATTCCTTCTGAGGCCACGCATGCTGTGGGGCAGGTATTGGTTATGCTTGCTGTCCTAGAGGAGGATGGCATGAAATGGGAACACTTGCTGTGTCTGTTCAGTGAGGCTGCAGTGCCGGCACAGATTCCTTTGTTGGGTCTCCTGGTTTCCTCTTCCCTCTGGAAGAATTGGAATGCAGGTCTGACAGAAATGCCGAGTGGTGTAGGAGGGACAGGCTTAGGAGGTCACGGGGTGGAACAGGGTCCCGGTCCATGCTGGGCCTTTGGGTTGGAGGGCCCTAGCGAAGGGTGCCGGCCTCACTGGTGGCTGTGTGTTGCTCCTGGCTCACCCAGGGCAGCAGGGAAAACACCCTGTCCTTGGGGAGGGAATTAGGTTTCCACTGAGTGTGCGAATTCCCTCTGCTCTGATGAATAGCGCTTTGCCAGCGTTTCGGTCAGTGCTGATCAGTTGTGGAAATGCTGCCAAGGTTCAGGCAGAGTATTGGGCGGGAAGTCTCCTTGGCCTGTGTGCCCTCTTTCGGCGGGTAGATGTCTAGCCCCTCCCTGGCATCGTGCGGTTTGTTCACACACTCTCCTAGGCCCTAGAAAAATAGCTCACGTCTTCCGGGGTGTGATGCTGGTTGGATTCCTTGCCCCTGGCCTGCAGATCCTGGCTGTGGTGCGTTGTGTGGGCTCAGTGAGCCTGAGGTGCCATGGGGTGGGGGCCACGGCCTCAGGCTTGGCTCCATTGCTGCTTTGAGAGCTGTTTTCCCTGAGAGGTGGGGCTTTTGCTCACGGCCTAGGTGGGTCCTAGGAGGGACAGTCCTGGAGGAATTGGTGGGAAGGGGAGGGAGAGGCCACAGGAATCTCCCTAACTATTGAGGTTCCCTTGTTAGGGGTAGAGAGGTGGCACCAGGTCATTAGTTTGGAGGCAGCGTGCTCATGGCATGGCTGTGGCTCTCAGGCAGGAGGAACGGAGTGTGCAGCTGTTGGAGTTCCTCTGGGGCCGAGAGTCCCTGAGGGCAGGGCCCACCTGACTCCGCCTAGGATCTCCATTGTGTGGCGCAGCTTATGGCATTTTATGGGTACTCACAAATGTTGTATTGAGGGAGGAGTCATTGTAGGGTCTCCGGGGGCCCTTTCTTGGGGAAATCCAAGAATGCAGGTGAGTGAGCTTACACTTGGGGCTCCTTGCTGAGCTCCAGCCACCTTCTAGCAGGACTTTCCTTCCTTGCCCACAGACACAGCTGCACAGGATCCCAGGAACAGTTGGAACCAGTAGTCTTCCAATTGTTCCTTGGAGTTCCACCTGGAAATACCTATTAGGGGTTGAGACCTAAGTGTCTGAAGTCCGGCGACCTGCTGGCTGCCCTGTCTGCACTAGGACTGGCAGTCCCGGGCCTGGTGCCCCATCTGGCTGTGATGGTGCTGAGCGGAGCCCCATGCCAACCCCAGCTCCTGTTCTGCATCACAGAAGAGTCTCTTGGTTGTTGTGAGGCAGCCCTTGCAGCTCACAAGGGCTAGAGTCCCTCCGAGGTGCGGGTCAGCCTCTCTCAGAAGGCAGCCACCTCTGTAACACCTCTCCTGGGCTTTGGGCTGGAGTACCCCAGATGAGGACAGCACAAGCTCATACTCCTCCCTGGGCTCAGGGGGAGTGCTTGGAGCTTCCCGAGGAAGGCAGGGCGAGAGGGTCCCAGAGTGCTGGGCTCCATCAGGACTCACCGCCTTCACCTCCTGGGACTCTTGTACCTGGCAGTGAACTTGCAGGGCCTGCGGGTCATTAGAGTCAGGAGGTCTGAGCGTGCTTCTTGGTTATGTCCCATCCCAACCAGTGAGAGCCACGCAGCCTCCCCAAGGCCAGTCGGGGGGGTGGCTCTGGAGGTTTGTGTGAGATGGTGTGCATGTGTGGCAGATTTGAGCCCAGTGTAAACTGCTTCTGTCCGCAGCCTCCTGCTCACGCCACCTGTCTCTGCCCCATCGGCTGCTCGCTGGGGGAGTGCCAGCTCATTTCAGTGCCGGCCAGAGTGAAGTTAGACAGGATTTGCTGGTGCTGTGAAAGCTCAGCTTCTCCCCAAGGTCAATGCTGAATTGTAGATTTCCCGTGCTCCCTCTCCCTGCAGAGGCAACTGCTGAGCAGACGGTGTGATGAATGTGTGTGTGATCTGTGCCAAGTGCCCGTCCTGGGAGTCCTGACTTTGCACAGTGCTCACCGTCATGGCGCCTCAGCGGGGGCGCCGGCACTGGAGCTGGGTCCCAGGTTCCATCCTGGTTCTGCCGCTGACTTGGCTGATGCGTCCTGCTCACCTCTTTTTTGCGCCTCGGCCTGTTCTGAGAGAGGCGTGGGGGTGAGGGCTCCCCGCTGACCCTCCCGTGGGTGGCACATGGCATCTGACTCTTGCTCTCTTGACAGCGCGAGGTTGATCGCAACCAGGAGCTCCTGACGCGCATCCGGCAGCTTCAGGAGCGGGAGGCTGGGGCGGAGGAGAAGATGCAGGAGCAGCTGGAGCGCAACAGGCAGTGTCAGCAGAACCTGGACGCTGCCAGCAAGAGGCTTCGTGAGAAAGAGGACAGCCTGGCCCAGGCCGGCGAGGTGAGCGGGGCCTCCGCTCCGCGGGGACTGCCCTCCTGGCACTGTTTTCCTGAGGAGAGGGAATGCATGCTCTTGTTCACCACTGCAGCGCCGCGCCTGTGTTTTTAATTGTGCTTCCCACACGGACAGCTGCGTTTTTTGCATAGTTGTAATCAGTAGAAGTATTAATTTTCCATTCTATAGTTCTCAATTAAAAAGTTGAGCACTTGGGCTGGGCGTGGTGGCTCATGTTTGTAATCCCAGCACTTGGGAGGCCAAGGTGGGTGGATCACCTGAGGTTGGGAGTTGGAGACCAGCCTGGCCAACATGGTGAAACTCCATCTCTACTAAAAATACAAAAATTAGCTGGGTGTGGTGGTGGGCGCCTGTAGTCCCAGCCACTCGGGAGGCTGAGGCAGGAGAATCGCTTGCACCGGGGAGGTGGAGGTTGCAGTGAGCTAAGGTCATGCCATTCCACTCCAGCCTGGGCAACACAGTGAGACTCTGTCTGAAAAAAAAAAAAAAAAAAAGTTAAGCAGTTTTTTTGCATTTGTAATTATGAATTTTGAAGGCTGATGAATCCGTTTTTTGTCATTTATGGACTTTTAGTGTGTTTGTGTTCACTTGTGTATCTATGCAGCCTTCGCTTCTGTTGACTTTGGACAGACCCCTAGGCCTGGGCTATAAGGTCCCCAGCGATGGCGGTCTCTGTAGCGGTTGTTCTCAGAGCCCCGGCTGAGGGCTCCAGTTTCCCTGCAGCCTTCCCTGTCGTGGATGGTGGTCTTTTCTGGAAATAGTTGTTCTTTCGTCAGGAGGCTTAAGTAGGCACGAATGGATTTGCATTTCTTTGACTATCCGCAAGGTCTACAGGCATCTGATGGTGTCGGGAGAATTGCCTCTGAACCGGAGCCTGTGTGAACCACAGTCCTGGTGAAGGTTGCTTGCATTTTAGAAACAGCCTGGATGTGGGCGCTGGTGGAAATTGGAATCTTCTGACCTCTCCTGTCCTTTTTCTGTGAAGATCAAGATTGCTGGTGCCAAGAGGAGACATGCAAATCTGCTGGCATAGGGGTGGGGGTGGGGTGGGCGTGCAGCAAGCGTCCTGGAGGGGTCCAGAAACTGGCCCTGCGTCCTTTCTGTGGGTGGTGCTGGGGAAGCGTGTTGAGGTTGTTCCCCCATCTGCTTCTGGAGGGCACGTTGGCAGGAAAGGAGGTGTGATTGGCCTCCGAGAAGCTGCTCTTGCCTTGCCCGTGCTCTGGGTTCCAGTTCCTGTGTGCTGGGCTGTGCTGGAGGTGGGTCAGACCCTGTCCCCGCTGCCTGTGGGCACCTGCGGTTCCATGGGGGAGGGTGAGTCGTGCCCAGCACTCCACGAGGGGCAGAGGAGTGGGAGACTGCAGGAGCCGCAGGGTGGTGCCCAGTGGGGTGGGGCTCCGTGAGGGGAAATCGCGCTGCTGCAGGCGCTGCTGCTTTGGCCTGTCACGTCTAAGCTAGGGTGGCAGCTCCTCAGGGCAAACCCTCCTGCTCACTAGGCCTTGGCTGCCTTCTCCTGTCACAGGGCCCTGATTGTCAACCTCCTTACTCTGGAATTGTCTTATGTGCCTCTTCCTTGCCAACTGTCCGGCGTCCCCTACAACACAGGTGCCCCTGCGGGCAGGTGGGCTCGGCCCTGCATCCAGCCTGGTCCCGGCATCCGGTGTGTATTAGTTGAGTTCAGAAGACCTCTGGGAGGATGTGTTTATTGTTAGTATGTTTTTAATACCTTCTTTTTTGACTCCCAGGTTAATGCTTCACCATTGGGTGAAGTAAACTGTACCCGTTGTGGGCATTCTGGGAGCACACCGCCCCCATGCGCGCCTTCCCAGAGCGTCGTGGGGTGGACGGCAGTGATAGGGTTCAGCGGGCTGAGCTGGCCACGGGTTCTCAGGAACAGGGAAATGAGTGCTGTGGCCTCCTTGTTTGCGGAGGGTGCCACCCAGCCAGGCCCACCCAGGTTGTTTGCTGTGTGAGTTTGCCATTGTCCTGCCCTGGGGGCATGGTCCCCAGAGCTGACATCACGCCCATGTATTTCCCTGTGTTAACTTACAGTGATGCTTCTCAGGGTCTGTCCGGCTTCTCACATTGGCTCGACCCACGTGCTCTTTCTCTGAGGACACCTAGGGTTTTCTGAGCTTTTCCAGAGGGTTAGGGTCCTCAGAAGGTTGCCTGGTGAGGGTGGTCAGGATGAAGCGTGGCGGTTCTGTCACGCGCGGGTTCCGTGCTGTCAGGCAGACCTGGTGTCCTGGAGGCTGCCAGAGAGGCTGTTGGCTTTGCCTCCCCAGGGGTGCTCCTGCCTGTGCTATGCGCTCCCCTTCCAAGCGCATGGCCTCCCCAACAGCTACCGCCTAGCCCCCTGCACAGCCTCCGTCTTTGTCCTGTTGGTTGGCCAGTGCCTTGCTGTTGTTCGAGGGCGATGTCATTAGCAAACAGCCGGCATAGTAGCATTGGGGTGGCTGGGGAGGGACGACAGGAGCCACTATTGGAGGGAAGACCAAAATGATGGTGTGGTGGGTATGTGGATGCCTGGTGGGACTTTGGGAGCATGCAGCACTGGCACAGAGACTGCCAGGTGCCAGGCCTGAGAGTCCAGGCCCATCTTGGCTGGTGAGGACTTTTGCTTCTGAAGCCGCCTTACCAAGCCTCCTTTCCAGGGGCCCTGGCTGGGGCCTGGGTCTCCTCAGTCAGCTCCTGCATGGCTCGTTGCAGGCTCTGGGCTGTGCTGCTCTGGAGCGCCAGGAGGAGGGTGGGCCTTGCGTGTGAGTGCCTGCCTGGACCCGCATCCTCCAGAAGGAGGTGACTCTGCCCCCTGGCCCTCTGCTCCTCTGCTCCCCTTGTCCCCCTCGCCCGCTTGCCGTCTGTCCCCCTACCCTCTGTCCCTCTGCCTGATGCCCCTCTGCCCCCTATTCCTCTGCCCCTCTGCCTCCTGCTTGGTTGTAGCATGTGGGTGGTGCCTGTCCGCTCTTCTCACCTCCATGTGCTCCTTCCATGCATGGGCTCTACTCACTGAGTGGCTCTCTGGCCCCCTCTGCTTTTAGACCATCAGCGCACTCAAGGGGAGGATCTCGGAACTGCAGTGGAGCGTGATGGACCAGGAGATGCGGGTGAAGCGCCTGGAGTCGGAGAAGCAGGAGCTGCAGGAGCAGCTGGACTTGCAGCACAAGTGGGCGGGGCCAGGGTGTGGGGTCGGGGGTCGGGCCACGTGTGGGGGCGTGCACGCCACCTCTCTCTTGGTGGCTGGGTGGGTTGTGGATGCACTCCCGGGTGCTGTCCTAATTCACAGACAGTCAAGAGGGGCAGACGCTGAGGCCTCTGGAGCCAGGACCATGAGCCCAGAAAGTGTCCTGATGTTCCTGGAGCAAAATGGGGGCAGCAACTTCCTCCTCCTCCTTCTTAGAGAGGGCTCCTGCAGAGCTAGATTTTACTTTATTTTTTGTGACAAGGTCTCACTCTGTCGTCCAGCCTGGAGTGCAGTGGCACCCAGAGTAACTGGGACTGCAGGCATGTGCAGTACACCTGGCTGATTTTTTTTTTTTGAGATTGAGTCTCGCTCTGTCACCCACGCTGGAGTACAATGGCACCATCTTGGCTCACTGCAGCCTCCGCCTCCTGGGTTCAGTGATTCTCCTGCCTCAGCCACCGAGTAGCTGGGATTAATTTTGCACCTGGCTAATTTTAAAAAACGTTTTGTTGAGATGGCCATCTCGCTTTGTCACCCAGACTGGTCTTGATCTCCTGGCCTCAAATGATCCTCCTGCCTCAGCCTCCTGGAGTGCTGGGATCCCAGGCTAAGCCACCGTGCCCTGCTGAGGGCTAGGTTCAGAGGGCAGCGCCATGTGCCTTGGCGGTAGAGGGGGCGCTGCTGGGAAGGGGTGTCCAGGCACAGGGCTGGGCTCAGCCGAGGTATAGACGGGAGAGCCTTGTCTGGAGGTGTGGTCAGAAGACTGGGCATCTCCTTTAGACTTGGAACCTTCCCTCAGCAAATGCTGTTTTAGTAGAGTTCTAGTTTCGTAGTGGAGAGGAGAGGTCATTCCTGGGTGGGGCCCTGCCGCAGCTGCACCAGGGCTGGGAGTTGCTGCAGGCAGGTGAGAGCTGGGGGTGCCACTGCTGGAGAGGACCTTGCAGGTGGCCTGGGCTCACTATGCACCCTTCCGAATGAGCAGCCTGAGGCTGCAGAGACAGCCCGCAGGGGCTGGGGCCTGGGACCTTGGGGTACCCGTGCAGTGGAGTGTATGTGTGGGGGGTCTGTGCCGGAGAGGGGGTCCTGAACCTTGGGGTGGGAATGAATGTGCGTGGGTCTGTGCTGGGGCGGGTCTCAGGCTGAGGAGAATTGTTGGCCTTGCCACATGCCTGTTTCTGTATGTGATGTATTTTTCTTTCAATAGAAAATGGCAGGAAGCCAATCAGAAAATCCAGGAACTCCAGGCCAGCCAGGAAGCAAGAGCAGACCACGAGCAGCAGATTAAAGTGAGTCGCTCTGTGTCAGGGGCCTTGTGGACATCCCTGTGGTGGCCTTGACTCGCCTGCTCCTGTTGGCCTTTCTGCGCTGGTGCCGAGCTCCGTGGGCCTCCTGTGAGGTTCGCTTCTGCCCTGTGTGCTGAGCACTGTGCTGGGCACCAGCGATGCCGTGGTGAATGAGGCAGATGCTTCTGCTCTCAGGGAGCGTGTATTTTAGAGGAGGGAGACTGACCACAAACACAAAGAGGAAATGTCCGTGTGTGTGATGACATCAAGTGCTGATGAGTGTGCGAAGAAGATACAGGCATAGAGAGGTTGAGAAATCTGCCCACAGTTGCACAGCTGGAGCTGGGTCTCTCAGGGCGTCTGCCTCAAGCTCAGGCTGTGCCATTTCCCTGTGGAGGATGGGCCAGGGAGATGCTGACTCCGGATCCCTCTCCTGCCTCTTGTTGCCTGGAGAGCAGCCTCCAGACCCTGTGCTCTGGCCCCTGTGCACCCTCACCTCCACGCTTCACACCAGCTCTTCCTGGCTGCAGAGCTGACTGGCACCCCCAACCTAGCTTCTGCCGCGTCCCCTCCCAGTGGTGTTCCCTGGGCCCCTCGCAGTCCTCAGCCCACCTCTCAGGATTGGCTGGCTGGCAAGGCGATGAACTGTGTTAGTGTTTGTCAGATGGCCGGCTGGTTTGGTTGTGGTTTCACACTCTGCCTGTTCAGTGACTTGCTGCTCACAGATGCCAGCTGTCTGTGTCCCAAGGGGCCTGGGTACCGTCCGCAGAAGCCTGTCCTCACTGACTGAAAGACTGAGCCCTTACACATGTGCTACTAGAGCGTCAGAAGTGGGCTTGACACGGGAGGAGGGGGGTGTTTTCCCATGGAGTGCCATCCTGGACCAGACCTGAGATAGACTTTTGCTCCTGGAGAGCTCCCTGAGGCCAGGTGGGGAGCACAGCAGCTCTGCGGTGTGCGGTGTGCATGCCAGCTCCCAGCGTGCAGGGGACTGGGAGGACGGTGCTGGGAAGAGCTGCCCTGGAGTGGATGCTGAGGCTCAGTATTGGAAGCAGCTTCCAGGCCTCTGGTGTAGCCCGGGAAGGCCTCCCACAGGGGAGTCCTGAGGCATGGAGGCTGCTGAGGATCTGGGAACAGTTTAGCGGAGGAACTTCGTGACCTCAGTGACTTTAATTTTTAATGGATGGTATTTTCTAGAGCAGTTTTAGGTTCACAGCAAAATGAGCAGAAGGTAAAGCTCATTTGTACCCCCTGCTCCACCCACCACCACACACACACAGCCTACCCTGGTAGAGTGGAGCATGTGTGACGGTGATGAACCTGCCCTGTGTACCCCCTGCTCCCCTGCCTCCCACACAGCCTCCCCTGGTAGAGTGGAACATGTGTGATGGTGATGAATCTGCCCTGTGTACCCCCTGCTCCCCACTCCACGCACACACAGCCTCCCTTGGTAGAGTGGAGCATGTGTGATGGTGATGAATCTGCCCTGTGTACCGCCTGCTCCCCACTCCACGCACACACAGCCTCCCTTGGTAGAGTGGAGCATGCGTGACGGTGGCGAACCTGCCCTGTGTACTGCCTGCTCCCCCCCACCCCAATGCACACACACACCCAGCCTCACCGGTAGAGTGAAGCATGTGTGACAGTGATGAACCTGCCTGGACACATCAGTGTCATGCAGAGTCCACGGGTCCCGTGAGGGTCACTCTTGGAGTGGGACAGTGTATGGTTTGGGCAAATGTAAAATGTCCTATATTTGCCATTAGAGTGTCACACAGAAAAGTTTTACTGCCTAAAAATCCTCTCTGCTCCCTCAGTCAATCCCTGCCTTTCCTTCTGAGCCCCTGACAACCCCCGCCTTTCCGAGAACGTCCTGTGGTTGGATCCTGCAGTGCGTGTAGCTGTTGCACACCGACTTGTTTCTCTTAGCCGTGTGTGTGTGATTTTCTCCAGGTCTCTTCGTGGCTCATTTTCCTCTTCTCTGTCCCTGGCCTCCATCAGGATCTGGAGCAGAAGCTGTCCCTGCAAGAGCAGGATGCTGCGATTGTGAAGAACATGAAGTCAGAGCTGGTGCGGCTCCCTAGGCTGGAGCGGGAGCTGAAGCAGCTGCGGGAGGAGAGCATGCACCTGCGGTGAGGGGTTGCGGGAGATGGGGTAGCCACCTTGAGTGAGTCTGGGTTTGTGCGCATGGAGCCCACTGTGCAGACGCTGTAGGGGCAGGGCTCCCGGGCTCTTGGCCTTCTCCCTAGGGTGTGTGGCTATTTGAGTGACTCTTTGTGGCACTGCCAGGGAGATGAGAGAGACCAACGGGCTGCTCCAGGAAGAGCTGGAAGGGCTGCAGAGGAAGCTGGGGCGCCAGGAGAAGATGCAGGAGACGCTGGTTGGCCTGGAGCTGGAGAACGAGGTGAGGGCCTGTGTGGTGTGCGGTTCCTGTGGGTGTCCTCTGCCCTGTCTGGAGGAGCCTCGGTATTGTGGTCACACCGACAGCTGCTCACCTACAAGATGGAGGCTGCTGTGATGGGGTGGGAGGCAGAGTCGTGGTCCCCAGAGAGTTCCCTGCCTCATCCCCAGAGCCTGTGAACACAGCACCTTCTGTGGCAGGGCGAATGAGGTCACTGGTCTGCTGGCCCACGTCAGGGACGGGCTCCTGGGCCATCCTGGCGGCTCAGAGTGACGTGAGACGGACTTGGCAGCTCTTGCTGGGTGTGGAGATGGAGGAGGGGCCACAAGCCAGGGAATGTGGGCGCCTCTGGAAGCTGGAAAGAGCAGGGAAGTGAACTCTCCACCGGAACCTGCAGAAGGAAAACAGCCCTGTCGTCACCAGGATTCCAGCCTGGGGAGACCCATTTTGGATTTCTGAACTAAAGTACTGTAAAATAGTACATTTGTGGGCTTTTTTTTTTTTTTTTTTTTTTGAGATGGAGTCTCGCTCTCTCCCCAGGCTGGAGTGCGGGGGCACAATCCTGGCACACTGCAACCTCCGCCTCCCAGGTTCAAGTGATTCTCCTGCCTCAGCCTCCTGAGTAGCTGGGATTACAGGCGTCCGCCACCACACCTGGCTAATTTTTGTATTTTTAGTAGAGATAGGGTTTCACCATGTTGGCTAGGATGGTCTTGATCTCTTGGAACTCGTGATCCACCTGCCTCTGCCTCCCAAAGTACTGGGATTATAGGTGTGAGCCACCGCACCCGGCCGGGATTTTTAAATATTAAAATTTTTTTTGTAGAGACGATATCTCCCTGTGTTGCCCAGGCTGGTCCTGAACTCCTGGGCTCAAGTGATCCTCCCGCCTTTGCCTCCTGAAGTGCTGAGATGACAGGCGTGAGCCTCTGTGCCGCACCAATTTGTGTTGTTTGAAGGCACTTAGTTTGTGGTGATCTGTTTCGGTTGCAGCAGGGAACTGGTACAGAGGGTGAGTCAGAGTGCGGGTGACACTGTGAGCACCAGGGCTGGCGGGGCCCCGTGCTGGGGGTCTTCTGCCTCCACTGTGGCACTTGGTGGGAAGACGTCAGTGCCGGAAAGCATCCTGCAGTCATGTTGCAGGCAGAGGAGGAGACAGGTTCAGAGAAGCTCCCTCTCTTGCCTGGTGCACAGCAAGTTTGGTCCAGAATTTAGGCCTTCTGGCCCCTGCCCGGGTCCTCTGTCCTTCACGCCACTTCCCTGTGGCCACAGCCGCTCCCCTCTGTGCCTGGCACACCTGTGCCACCTTTCTCTGGTGGTTGTGTGGCCTGGCAGGAGAGCAGACTCCATCTGCAGCGCTCTGCAGCTGCCCACCTGTCAGGCTGGCCACTTGCAGAGTCCCCCTTGGGTGGTGTGGGTCTCTGCCCTCTTCAGAGCTGCGATACAGCCAGAGTCCTTTCGGGGCCTTGGCCCTGTGACCCACCCTGCCAGCGGGGGTGTCCGGCAGGGACTCTTCTCTCAGGTGCTGGGTTCTATAGGAGCTTAGCCTGAAAAGACAGCTCCCACGCGACATCCTTTTTCTCTCTGGCCGCCGTGTAATTTATTGTTTGATGGTTGAAGAGTTGGGGCTCTCAAGCTACACTCCGTGGTTGGGTGCTTGGTCCCTGGGCCAGCTCCTTCGCCGCCCTGCCCGTCTCCCCATCTGCGCTGCTCCGCGTCCCTGGGCCGGCTCCTTTCACTGCCCCATCCGTCTCCCCATCTGCGCTGCTCCGTGTCCCTGGGCCGGCTCGTTCGCCGCCCTGTCCGTCTCCCCGTCTGCGCTGCTCCGCGTCCCTGGGCCAGCTCCTTCGCCGCCCTGTCCGTCTCCCCATCTGCACAGGGAGGAGCGGTGCTGGTGCCTGCCTCGTCGGGACTGTGAGGCTCACTTGAGTCTATGTGAAGTGCTCAGAGCAGTGCCTGGCACGTAGTGAATGTTCTGTAGCGTTGGCTGTTGTATAGTTACTAGTCAAGCGCGTGCCTGCGCGTAGGAGGGGCTCTGAGAATACCTGACTTGCCGAGTGGAGCGTTGATAACAGCACGGTGCTCGGCACTGGGTGGAGGTGAAGCGAGGCCAGAACAAAGGCACAGAGTCCCTGCTCTCAGATTGCTTCCATCCTGGAAGGGCCATGAGACCTCTTTGGGGTGCTGCTCAGCATGGGACAGGTGTGTGACACAGGGGCACGCTGGCCTGTAGGCAGTGATGTCATCTTCCTCCATGCTCCACGGTGGCTGCCCTCCTCTCCTGGGGCCTGTTGGTCCTGGTCTGCTGTTTGATGGGGGGAAGTTTGGCTCCAGGACTGAGTCTGTCTGCTCCAGGGCCTGGCTCCCTAAGGAGCCTCTGGAAGATGGGGGAGGGGTGAGTCCTCATGGCTCGAGCACCTGAGGCTGCTCCCTGGGGCACAGTCAACCCCAGGATCATTTCTGGGGCTGTCTGCCTTCTCCCTCCACGGCCACACGTTGCATTTAGCTTGCTGGGGTGTGTACTTGAATTTACAGGGCCAGGAAGGAGTGAGGCAGGAAGCACCAGTGTGGCTTTTGCAGTTGGGGAATAATAACCCGGCTGCGTCCGGGCAGACTTGGAGCATGTAGCACTCAGCTCAGAGATGAGGGCAGGCTCTCCGGAGAGGTCAGGGACTTAGCGCCGTGGTCGTTGTTGTCAGTCTTATGTGATAATCCTGTGGCAGGCAATGACGGGGTCCGTGCTTTTGTTGTCTTTTCAGAGGCTGCTGGCCAAGCTGCAAAGCTGGGAGAGACTGGACCAGACCACGGGCCTGAGCATCAGGTAGGGAGGGGCAGGTGCCTCCGGGGTCCCGCCTTCTCTGAAGGGTCGCCGGGGAAGAGCAGAGCCAGCCTCTGGCTCCCTGGCACTGTCTCCAGCCAGGCATCTCTGTGGCTGGTGGGGGGTGTTTGTCCCGGCTGCTCAGGTTTAATGAGGCCTTTCCCAGCGGGTGGGGCAGTGGAGCCGGGCGACTCATCCTGCTGAAGCCTTAGTAACATCTTCATTGAGAAGCAGAATATCCACAGCAAACCAGTGGCAGGCATCTGATTGCCCTGCATTGTGGGCTTTGTGAAAAGACTCTTTTTGGTGTATACTGAGGAAGTAATTGCTTTTGGGGGAAATCATTCATATTAGGGAACTGTAACCAGTGGAGATGAACTGAGTTTTTAGAATTAAGAAAAACCCACCGTATTAGGCTGTTCTTGCATTGCTGTGAAGAAGTACTGGAGACTGGGTAGTTATGAAGGGAAGAGGTGGAATAGGCTCACGCTTCTGCAGCTGTACAGGAAGCGTGGTACTGGCATCTGCTTGGCTTCTGGTGAAGCCGCAGGGAGCTTTCAGTCGTGGCGGAAGGTGAAGGGGGAACAGGCACGCCACGTGGCAAAAGCAGGAGTGAGAGTGTGTGCGAGAGAGAGAGAGAGCGAGTGTGAGTAGCGTTGGGAGGGAGGTGCCACACACTTCTAAATAACCCGATCTCATGAGAACTCCCTGTCATGAAGACAGACCCAGGCTGTGAGGGATCCGCCCACGATCCAAACACTTCCCACTGGGCCCCACTTCCAGCACTGGGGATTACACTTCAACATGAGGTTTGGGCAGGAACACAGATCCAAATGGTTCTCACCCACCATAGTGGAAGACGATTGTCTGGTTCTTGTAGCAGCCTCTTCAGCCAGTCTGTGCCAAGCTGAGTGCCAGCATGTGGGTGGAGGGATGTGGGGTGGAGCTGCCGGGGGACCACCCTGGGTGCTGGGGATGGCATTCTTAGAGGGCAGGACCGTTCCCAGGTCTGGTCCTGTCTGTCTTGCTCCATCCATCCCAGGGCCCTGCGCTCATCTTTCTCCAGCAGCTGCTCAGTTGGCCCCTGCCCTTCAGCCGCTGGGCCCCTGCAGGTGACCGCCTCCTGGCAGCTCTGGTCTGGACCCCTCTGTGTGGTTGCCCTGTGTGCGCCAGGTCTCCAGGAGGTACAGGAGCGGTGCTTTTGAAGGAGCCATCGGAGCCCGGGGCTTGGGGCCTGTGGTGCTGGTGCCGAGGCAGCCTCTTGTGTTTGCTTGTGAGATTTCAAGGCTTCCCGCTTCTTGCCTGTCTTTCCTGATGCTCTTGGAGACTAAGCTGAGAATGAGACTGTCTGAAAGAGCTATCTTTGACCACAGCATCCGACTGCTAGTCCTGGGCTCCACTACCTTCTCATCAGCATTACTGGCTTCAGTTCTCTGTCACCTGAAAGTGCCCTTTCATTTTCTTTGAGCTTTGCTAAGTCAGAGCACGGCCCGGGCTGCTGTCTCCTCTTGAGCTCCCCCTGTAGAACACAGGCTTCTGTAGGGCCGCCTCAGTGGGGCCTAAATGCTTTGTGCTTCTGTCTGTTCTCTGGGCTTATTAATTGCTTGGAAGGTGACCGTTCTGCTTCTAGGAATACTCTGGCCAGATGAAACCTTCGTGACTTCTTTCCTGTGAAGGGACATCAGAGGCCCCCACGTGCCTGAGGGCCTGGCCCTGTGGGAGGGTCAAGTGTGCAGTTTGCCCTGGAGCACTGGGTGTCAGTCAGGCACGTAGCCCTGGCGCAGCTGGTTGCTGTCTCTGGTTGGTTACAAAGTACTGCTGCTCCTTTCGGCCCTGTTCGCGCATCTGAGCGCCCTGCCTGGGCGTGGCTTGTGTGAGGGCGAACTGGCCTGGGGGTGCTGCCTGGGTGTGGCCAGTGTGAGGGCAAGCTGGCCTGGGGGTGCTGCCTGCCTGTGTGTTCCGTGTTCACTCTGCCCTCCCTGGTGGCCAGGCCCTGGATGAGGGAGAGGAGGGGTTGGTCTGCAGGACTGGTGGAGGTGGGCTGCCTGTGCCAACCACCGGCTTAAAAGTGGGCGGGAGGCAAGTGGAATGCGTGTGTGGTGTCCTGCAGCTTTGATGAGGAAAACAGATAGTGCTTTGGAGGCTCGATTCAACCCACCCTCCCACTCCTCGCAACAGTAAAACCGGTGTCAAGTCACTGTGCTGCTCTGGGCCAGTGTTCCCTTTATTGAAAGGGAGACATGGAGCTCTTCTCTCCCACTGCGTGTGAAAATCCGACGCAATCCTTTGTTTGTGGAGGGCCCTGTGAGTTGGAGAGGGCTGGTGTGAGCGTCCTCTCTGAGCAGCCGGAGGCTGATGGCCAGGAAGGCGGATGGAACCGTCTTCGCTGTGGGGGTCGACTCCTGGTCTCCTGCGTTGGCCTTGGCCATGGGCCTGGTAGAGGGCAGGTTTCCTCATGTGCTGGGTTGCCTGCCGTGCCTGGGCCCCTTCAGGGCTCCCGCCGCTCACCGCATTGTGCTCCACAGGGCGGTTGTCTGAGTGTGGTCTGCATCAGGGCCTGATCTCGGGTGACTCACAGTCGACATCAGTGGTGGTGCTGCTTATGTCGCAGTCCATGGGAATGCAGGCTGGCGGTCCTGAATACAGCTCATAGAATCACCGGGATGGTTTGGTAACCGTGTGCGTTTCTGGCTCTGCACAGTGGCTCACACCTGTAATCCCAGTGGTTTGGGAGGCTGCAGCCGGGGGATTGCTGTAGCCTAGATGTTTGAGATCAGCCTGGGGAACGTAGTTGAGACCCTGTTTGTACAAAAAAAAGAAAAAATTATCTGTGCTCAGTGGTGCGCACCTGTAGTCCCAGCTACTCAGGAGGCTGAGGTGGGAGGATCACCTGAGCCCAGGAGGTCAAGCTGCAGTGAGCTGTGACTGCACCCCTGCACTCCGATGACAGAGTGAGTCCCTGTCTCTAAAACACAAAAACAAAAACCAAAGTGCATTTCTGGGTAAGCCCCACATGCCCTGGGCTTGCTTTTCTGATTGTAGGGACCAGGTTTGGGCAGGTCTTATGATTTTGGAAGCCCATGTCTGGCAACATTGAATGTGGTGATGAAGTGGGCAGCAGGGACACAGATGTGGTGAGAAGCTGGGACTGTGGGGGCCATGGGGGCCACAGGTGCCACAGGTGCCACAGCTGCCACTTGTGGTCCCCATGGGAGGGCTGAGTGCACTTGCCGTTCGTGTGTGGAGACATGTGTGCCTCTGTGGGCGAGCTCAGGGATCCCCCTCCTCCCAGCCATGGGGACCTGAGGTGACATCAGATGTCCTGGAAGCAGAGGGCTCTGTGGCTGGGAGTGCCCTGGGCCTGTGCTGGCTGGGCTGGCGTCTGCGTGCCTCCGGGCCCATGCTGTGTTGGGATTTGGGGCCTGCCGAGGCCCCGGCCCCGTGGGTGCAGAGGAGCTGCTGCCACTAGGTGGCGCCCCTGCCTTGGTGATCCTTCCCACAGCGGCTTCCCTTGGGTCTCTCTGGCCTGTGGACCTGCTGTTGTCCCACCATGGGACTTGCTTGCTGACACCGGGGTTTGGGTCGATGGGGATGTGAGGGGCTTCTGGCCGCTGTTCCTGACTGCCTTCAGGGGGTGCTTCTGGCTGACCCATGCCTGCCTTGTTTCTGACCGGTGTGTTGGGGCCCTCAGGCCCGTGGGCTGTGAGATCCTGGCGTTGAGGCCAGACGTCCTCTGCGCAGGCCCTTCCCTAAGGACAGGGTGCTGATGTCCTGCAGTCCTCAGAGGGCTCTTCAGCCTCGCCCCGGGCTTGGATGAACCCTGGCTGAGCCCTAGGAGAGAGTGGCCTGGTCACCTTCTTCCCCATGTGGGGCTTCTTAGGTCTTAGGAGAGGAGGCTGGGTGAGTTGGCTGGGGTGAATCAGTGAAACCATGGGAAGACCCTGTGGCACGAGGTCCTTATGTGTCACACAGGCCTGGGCACATGTGACATGTGCAGCACACGGGGTCATGCGGGCCAGGGGCATATTAGTTTCTACGACTTTGAAGTCACAGGCAGGGAGGGACACTGCGTGAACACACGTGGGGAAGGGCAGGATGCCAGTGCCGGGAGTGTGGTGTGGACACCCTCACCCTTAGGGTGTTGGGAGTTGGGCTGAGGGAGTTAGCAGCAGTGCGAGGCGTGTGTCTGGAGGCAGCGATGTGATCAGCTTGGTCTCCCAGGAGCATGATCTGTCTTGGGGAATGATTTGTGGGTGAGGAAAGTGGATGCCAGCACACAGCCTTTGAGGTATGTGTCAATCTAGGCAAGACCTCAGGGGCACAGGAGGAGGAGGAGGAGTAATAGAGAGAGGCCAGTGGGAAAGATGGCGTGAGGCTGGAGGCCATCTGGAAATGCAGGGTGCTTCTCTTTGGAAAATCATCTGTTTCAGTAGAATGAAAGGGGGTGCAGGCCATCTCCGTAGGAGAGCAGCACAACCATTTGTAACAATCCAAAACTTGTTTGTGATTGGAAATTCTCAGCAAGCTAGGAAGAGAAGAGAAATTCCTCAACCAGGTAAAAGACACCTGCAGAAAACCACAGCTGATATAATACAAGGTGAGACTGACTGCATCCCTGACACGGACACCAGGCAAGATGTCTGTTCCCATCATCCCTTTTTGCACTGTGCTGGAGATCTTCAACATTATAGTTAGGGAAGCAAAAAGAAAAGATGGACAGACTGGAAAGGAGAAAGTAAAACTGTACCTGGAGACATCATAATTATGTATAGAAATTCCCAGGGAATCAATGACAAGCCAGTAGGACTAAACCGTGAGGTTTACAGGGTCACAGGTTACAAGGACAAGGTACCAAAATAGGTTACATTTCTGTATGCTAGCAGTGAGCCACTGGAAGTACATACCACACATGATGGCATCAAAGTCCATGAAATATTAGGGATGCATATAAGAAAATCTGTGTAAGATTTGTACACTGAGAGGCTTAAGACGCAACTGAGACATTAAAGATCACCTGATGTAGAAAAATGGAGACATTGTAAGAGGAAAAATGAACTCTTTGCCCCTCTGCTCTCACACAGCCTCTGACACCAGATACTGGAAGGTTTCCCGCACACCAAGCAGTTCTCCAGACGACACCAGCTGGGTGTCCTGCAGCCTCATCTGCACACTCTCCACCTGGAGTTCCATCAGCTCCTGCTGGGTCGGGGCCCAGTCCCACACGTCTATGCCCCCTTCAGATTCCAGGTGCAAGTAGTGGGCCGGCATCTCTCCTTCATTTTGCTGTTTTCTTCCCTTCCCCTGTCACTGACGTCAGCTGTACTTCTGACTGATAGGCTATTAAACGAGGCTCGTACTTCCCACTCCTTGGGTTTCATTAATTTGCTAGTGTGGCTCACAGAACTCAGGAAGATGCTTTGTTAGGTTTAGTCATGTGTTATAAAGGACATTACGAATAATACAGGTGAACAGGTCGGTAGAGTGAGGTATGGGGAGAGGCGCGGAGCTTCCGTGCCCTCTCTGGACATACCACCCTCCGGGAGCCTCCGTGTGTGCAGCTCTGAACCCTGGCCTTATTTATGGGTTTTTGTGGAGGCTTCGTTACAGAGGCATGATTGATTACACCACTGGCTGTTGGGAATCCACTCACCCTTCGGCGCCTCTCCCCTCCGAAGTTGAGGGGTGGGACTCAGAGTCCCAACCCTCTCATCCCGCCTCGGTGTTTCGGATGACCACCCTGTCTGAAGCTGCCTGGGGGCTGCCAACTGGCAGTCAGCTCATTAGTTCCCAAAAGACTCCCTTCTCACCCCAAATAAAGAGCTGCATGTATGTCAGGGAACGGAAAGACCAAATATGTATTTCAGAGTATCATAAAGGTACTGTGTTCTTGTATTGGAAGATTCATTATTGTTAAGATGGCAGTTTGCTCAAAGTGACCCAAATATTTCACATAATCCCAATCAAAGTCCCAGCAGAAAGTGATGAACCGATCTCTAAAATTTCTTTTTTCTTTTTTGATATGGAGTCTCGCTCTGTTGCCCAGGCCGGAGTGCAGTGGCATCATCTCGGCTCACAGCAACCTCTGCCTCCCATGTATCTGGGATTACAGTCTCATGCCACCATGCCTGGCTACTATTAGTATTTTTAGTAGGGGCGGGGTTTTGCCATGTTGACCAGGCTGGTCTTGAACTCCTGACCTCAGGTGATCCACCTGCCTCGGCCTCCCAAAGTGCTGGGATTACAGGTGTGAGCCACTGTGCCTGGTTGACAATTCTAAAATTTCTATGGGAATATAAAGCACCTGTAAATTGTTATAGCAATAACAGTTTAGAAAAAGAACAAGTTGGCTGGGCGCGGTGGCTCAAGCCTGTAATCCCAGCACTTTGGGAGGCCGAGACGGGCGGATCACGAGGTCAGGAGATCGAGACCATCCTGGCTAACACGGTGAAACCCCGTCTCTACTAAAAAATACAAAAAACTAGCCGGGCGAGGTGGCGGGCGCCTGTAGTCCCAGCTACTCGGGAGGCTGAGGCAGGAGAATGGCGTAGACCCGGGAGGCGGAGCTTGCAGTGAGCTGAGATCCAGCCACTGCACTCCAGCCTGGGCGACAGAGCGAGACTCCGTCTCCAAAAAAAAAAAAAAAAAAAGAAAAAGAAAAAGAACAAGTTATAGGGCTTACACTGGCCAATTTCAAGACACATTGTAAATTGCATAAATTGAGACAGTGTGGTAGTAAGTGTAGACATCCGTAAATCAGTGGAACAGAGTAGAAAGTTCAGAAATGATTTAAGAATTCAGCGTTGATGGTTGTCAAAAGTGTCAAGGTAATTCAGTGGGAGAAAGAGTCTTTTCACCAAGCGTGGTAAACCAGTAGGCTGTTTGTGGCGAGGATGAGCCTTGACACCTGCCTCCTGCTGGACACAAGATTTAACTCAAATGATGCATAGACTTATGTGTGAAAGTCACACACTCTAGAAGCTAGGGTTTGGCAAAGAGGTCTTACGATACAGCGAGCATGAACCATACATGAAAAAAATTGATAAGTTAGACTTCATCAAAATTGAAAACTTCTGCTCTCAAAAGACACAAAGTGAAAAGACAGACCATAGACTAGGAAAATATTTGCGAGATATTAACATGTATCTGACCAAAGACGCACTCCAGGATACAGAAAGAACTCTTACGAATTAGTAAGATTACCATAGCTTAAAAAATGGTCAAAAGACTTTTAACAGATACTTTATTATTTATGTATTTATTTTTTTGGAGATGGAATCTCACTCTGTTGCCCAGGCTGGAGTACAGTGGCACGATCTTGGCTCACTGCAACCTCCGCCTCCCAGGTTCAAGCAGTCCTCCAGCCTCAGCCTCCCAAGTAGTTGGGGTTCCAGGCATGCACCACCACGCCTGGCTAATTTTTGTATTTTAGTAGAGACAGGTTTCACCATATTGGCCAGGCTAGTCTCGAACTCCTGACCTCAGGTGATCTGCCTGCCTTGGCCTCCCAAAGCACTGGGATTACAGGTGTGAGCCACTGCACCTGGCCTGCTTTTCACAGCTTTTCACAGATACTTTACAAGAGAAGGTGTACAAATGGTAAATAAGGACATGAAAAGATGGTCAACATTGTTAGTTATTAGGGAATGCAAATTAAGACTGTAATCGCCCAACAGGGTTCTTCTTGCTGCCCAGAAAGGCAACGTGCCGAGAACGGCAGGTGTGGCAGCAGAGAAGGAGTTTAATGACTGCAGAGCCAGCCAAGGGAGGTGGACGGGAGATAACTCTCACATCTGTCTGCCTGAGAATTCAGAGTCGAGGGCTTGAGGGTGTTTTGGCGGGCAGTGGCCTAGGGAGTGGTGAGTGCTGATTGGTTGTGTTGGGGATGCAGTCATAGGGGTGTCAGGACTGTCTTCATGCAGCTGAGTCAGTTCCTGGGAGATGGGGTCACAGGTCCCGGTGGCATCTCTCGATCTGCTGAAATGCTAAATCTGAAAAATATCTCAAAGACCAGTTTTTTAGGTTTTGCAGCAGTGATGTCTGCAGGAGCCGTTAGGGAAGTTCCGAATCTCACAATGTCTGGTTACGTGACTCCGGGCAGCAGGCACCGTAGAAGAGCAAGCTAAGTCAGCAGGGAAGGTCGTGGCTTAACCGGGCCTGTTCTTTAGCAAAGTTCAGGCCCCTGTAGTAATGCCGGTCTTAGGAATGCGGCCTTAATCTCCAAACAGAGAGGGAGTGTCAGTTTTCCTTGCTTTGAAGCTTAACTATAAACTAAATTCCTCTCATAGTTATCTTGGTCTCTGCATTAGAATAAGCAAAAAAAAAAAAAAAAGAAAAGAAAAGAAAAAAAGGATTGCTCCTATGAGGTTAGAAGCAAGATGGAGTCAGTAATGTAGATTTCTCTCAGTACTTAAAATTCTGTAAAGGTGGTTTCAAGACCGCAGTGAAATACCACTGTGTACCCAACAGAATGGCTAAAATTAAGCAAATTGACCGTCCTGACTGCTGGCAGAGATGCTGAGCAGCCAGGCCTGTCAAACGTTGCCCCTGGGAGTAGGAAATGGTGCGGCCACTTTGGAAGTGGTTTGGTAGCTTTGTACACACTTACGGTATGACCTGGCAGTTCCATTCCTTGGTATTTAACCCAAGAGAAAATGCGACCTCACGAAGATTTGTACAGGAATGTTTGTAAGAGCCTTATTCTAACAGTCTGGGAGCAGGAACAACTCAGGTGCTTGTCAGCAGGTGAAGGGGTATGTGGACCGTGGCGTCTCCACGCAGTGTAACACGCGGCATCGGCTGTGCTTGGAAACATGAACGAATCTCTTGCTGAGTGAAGGAAGCCACAGTTACTGAGTTTATACTTACTATACCATCCCATTTATTTGAACTTTTAAAAAAGGTAAAACTGAGCAACAGTGACAAAAAGCAGGTCAGTGATCCCTGGAGTCTTGTGCTGGGATATGTTTGGGGCCTTATGGGGTGCTACCTTTTGACGTGATGGAGGTGACAGCTGCACAGGTGTACATGCAGCAAAGCTCTTGACACTGCTGTTGTGAAACGGTTCACGTGTGTGATTATACCTCACCCAAGCTGGCCTGTCAACAGCAAGTGGTCCGCTGTTCGGATTAGCTGTGAGGGGAAGGAAAATTCCTTAGTGGCGACTTGGACTGAATTGGAGAGTCGCCTGGGGGTTCTATTTAAAGCCAGCCTTCATTTGGGGAGGGACCCATCCCCTGAGTTTATGGAAGGCCTAAGACAATGGCTGCCTGGACCTCCTGGGTCTTTGGCACATCACACGAGTGCTTTGAGGAGTGGCAGCATGTGGGGTCAGGTGTAGGCTGCAGGGGGTCAAGGAGTTTCACATTTGATTAAAAGCAGAACAAGCTACGTGAATGCAAATGAATGGAATGAAAAGTGGAACGTGGTCTTCCTTTCCTTCCCTCCCTGGTGACCTCTCTCAGGGCTGGGTGCCCCGTGTCACAGCTTCCTGGCCATCACTCAGGGCTGGGTGCCCCGTGTCACAGCTTCCTGGCCATCGTCACCTGTGTTCTCATTACTCCTGGGGAACTGTTCCAGAACAGAACTGACTGCCCCGGAGGCGGGTGGCAGGGCATGCTGTGCTTGGCCCCAGTTCGTCTTTCTAGGCAATGCCTGATGAGTTTCTTGTGTGTTGTTCTGGAAATGTGTGTGCATACAAGCTCTTTATGTACTCCCATCACCTTTTAAAATTGGGGCTCCTTCCACAGTTTTATTCTGCAACTGTTTTCACTCAGTTTTTGACAGTTTTTTGGCACCAGCACAGGCTGGTCTGCTGAACTACTTTAAAGAGTGCAGACGGACTCAGACTCCAGCAGCCCCTGTTGATGGACACTTAGGGTGTTTCCAGCTTTTTCCCCCAATTAGCCATGCTATGCTGGTTGGGTAAATTCTTAAAAGCAGAATTTTTAGTTTAAAAGAGATGTGCATTTGAGACTGATAGCTGGTGCCATACCGCCCTCCCGGAAAGCATGACTGCTGTGCGCTCCCGTCACGGCGTGTGACTGCCGTCACCTAATTGGGGTGGTGTGCTTTCAACGTTTCTAGAGAGATTCACCTCGAAGTCACAGTACGATGAGGAGAGCAGGCATCTTCAAAGGCTTGGCTTTTCAGAAATGTCATTTAGCAGCTCCCACTGAGGGGGACCCTATGAAATAGGAAGGGAGTGGGTGTCAAGTCCTGCAGCCAAACCCCCACTTTAGGGAGGAAATCATTTGTTCGTGGCCAAGATGCCGCTGTTTTTGGCTCCTTGCCCGTCCCGTTGTGCCTGAATCTGGCCTCGTTTCCCACCCCGCTGGCTGGGTGTTGTACCTGTCAGCAGGGCCAGGCCTGAGGGGGGCTGAGGAGGGCTGCAGAGGAGGCTAGACTGGGGAGGTGGAAGGTGGGCGTTGCCAGCTCAGAGGCCTGGCAGCTGTGCCCACCTGGAACTGCTGACCCATCCTCTGGAGTCAAAACCGGGCACCTGTCTGTGCTGACCTGGACATTTTCCCAAAAACATCTATAGACTGGCCAGATGACAAGTCTCAGGGCCCAGCTTCCCTGATGTGTGAGGCCAATTAGGAGGACAGTGAGGGGATGCATGATTTTCCTCCAAGGAAGGGTCTAATTGACCAGCCCGGACGCTTTTATTATCCTAGTTACCGTGCGCGTGATTTGTAATTACCCGGCTGTTGCGTTGATCAATACCAGACGCCCTGGTAGTGCTTGGGAAGTTGGGCGACTGTCAGGTATGTTGGTCCCTTTTAATTGGCGCCAATTTGATTTTCTTCGGGGCATGGGAGGAGGAGGGGAGAAGCGTTTGGCCTTCTGGGTACTTGTGTGAACGCAGCCCTTTCTTCTGGGCCTGCATGCCGGATGCCTCGGGGTCTGGGCCGCGTTACCCCTTTTGGTTTGTTCATTTGTTCACTCATTCGTTCATCATGAGCTGCTCTTGTGGAGCCCATAATCTGGAGGGAGAAGGATGCCCCAGGCCTGTGTGTCTGGTGTGCAGGTCCCAGGCCCCTGGAGCTGGAGAGTGGCGAGCGTGCTTCCCTCCAGAGGTGCAGGCCAGGGCGGGGCATGGGCCAGGTTCCCAGCTCCATCCTCGTCCGGAGCTGCAGGCCGAGGCGGGACATGGGCCGGGTTCCCAGCTGCATCTGAGCACGGTGCCTTCCATCTCTCCTCCTCTCAGCCCCAGCTCCTCCTGTGGCTGAGTCCTGGCCGCTTTCTGCCTTGGGGTTGTGTTGGTTTTCCGTCAACTCCTCCTCTTAATCCTGAGCTTTGTGAGTTAAGAGCTGGGGTGTCCCTTTAGCGCCCCTGTGCCGGGCGTGCAGTAGGCGCGTGCTGAGCCTTTGAAGAGTGGAGGATTGAGCGAGGGCGTCTCTGTGCCTTGCAGTTGGTGGTGATGTATGGGCTGAGCCTCCAGCGCTCTTGGCTGCTGTGACAGGACCCCCTGGGGTTACTCGAACTGCACTATCCCAGCGAGACCCCCAAAGCAAGGCCAGCAGAGAGCTTCCTGACAGCTGCCTTACTTTGGAGACGGCCCTGGCTGGGGTGCAGCCTGTGTGCCTCTCCGCCCCCTTGTAAAGCTTCAGATGGGTGTTCCCAGCAGCGCCGACAGGCTCACGCTGCCCTGTTGGACTTCATTCCAGGTTGGGTGGGGCCGGCTGGAGACTGTCAGAGTCTGGGGGCGGTGCTGTGGGTGTTGGAACCCCGTAGGGAGAGGCGAGAGAAGTGCTTCCCCGAAGAGACCGCGGGGCTCCACGCCGGCATGTGCCTGGCTGCACAGACAGCTGAGTGCCCCTCGGCGTGTCTGGGTGGGAACGCTCTGGGTCTCACCTGGTCTCGGAGCACTTTTTGGGGCTTTTCTCCAAGCTTTGTAGATACGGCTCTTTTACTTCTAGGCCTCTTTTTAAATTGATTTTAAAAGTCTAAGGCTAGATAGTGACAGGCTTTAGACAAGTCTGGCTACTGTAGATTCCAGGATTTATTTTAGAGGAGGCAGTGGCATCCCCGGTGGTTTCTAGGCTGGTTTTTACTCATGGGTGCTTACTGGGGTCCTGTTATGTGCCGGCCCCTCCTTGTGGGCTAAGGGCTCCCAAGGTGTCCAGGTCCCTACTTTTACAGGTAGAGTAGGGGGTGCCCTGGCCTGGAATGGAGGAAGGGTCTGGGCAGCTTTGTGACAGGGCTGGTAGGAGGGGGATTTTGACAGGCGACTTGAAGCCAGCGCCAGCCAAGGGCCAGAGGCGGAGAAGCTGAAGGCCTCCCGTGGGCAGCCCACCACTGCCTGCCCTTCTCTCCGAGGACTTCCCAACAGTGCCATGGCCTTTGGAGGGCTAGGGTCTCAGGCAGGCTACGGACAGCTCCACAGCTCCTACCAGACACTCTTCAACGTCAGCTTTGGGGCTGTGAGGTGTGACCTCTACAGGATCACCTGCGGTCACTCCCTACGGCCAGCTGTAGCTGTCATTTGTGTCAGGAGCTGCTGGTCTTGCCTGGACCACTCACCTTCCCACCCTTCACCCACCCTGCATGGCCTGGGTTCTTGGGAGGAGCAGGAGATCCTGAGCTGTTGAATTCCTGGAACCTGTGGTCAGGCGGCATCCGTATCCCGCTCCTCCCAGCCCCTGGACGCTTCTCACTGGTGTGGCCTCCTGGAAACAGGTGCCCTGATTCTGCTGGACAGGCAGGAGGGGAGGCTGGGCTGAGGAGTGGACCGGCCTTTTCATGCTCAGTGGCTGCGGGGGGCCATGTGCATGAAGCAGGTGGTCCTCGCGGTAGTGCCGTTTGTGCAGAGCCGTGTTGGGGACAGCGGGCTTGTGTTAACAGAAGTGCTGTGAGATGATCACTTCATCACGAGCCAGTCAGCACCAGCCTGTGGGGTGGCTGATGTGGACTCAGTGATCTGACTTTCCTGGCTTTTGTTTAATGATGTTTCCACTGTTACCCAGGTGCAGAGCTCTGACCTCCCATGGTCAGAAGTACTGTGTGCGTGTCTCATCTGGGCAGCATGCAGAGACCTTTGCTGGCAGCTGTGTGTGGACCCTGGGACTCTGTTACATGGCCGGGTGCTGAGGGGCAGGGGTCCGAGCCAGGCCAGCAAGCCTTCCTTAGACCCCCTGTGTGCAGGCCTGGTGCCCGGTGTAGGGGACCCAGTGGAGAACAAGATCAGGCTGTTGCCATGAGACTTTCGTCTGGTGGGGAGTCCTGAGAAGGACGTAGGTGAGGTGGGGAAGAGGTTCCAGGTGAACGCAGGTGTCCACCCCGCATTCCAGGGTGGCAGGTGGCCTGGGGCAGGTGTGGAGTGGTTGGGTGGGCGCCCTGCATGCTATGTTAGTGTAGGGTGGTGCACACCTGGCCGGCAGGCCTTGCTTCCGCTCTTCACCCTCCACCTGTCGAGGGTGCGCCCTGGGAGTGGGTGGAGGATGATGGGCATGCGTGGGAAGAGCTCTGAGATCCTTGGCCTCATGGAGAGTGTTGGGCAGTTACCCGTCCCCTGCCCTTGGGCCTTTGTGAGTGTGGCTTCCTGGAACTCTGGGGGATTTGTCCCCAGTGACTGCAGGGGGCTCTCCTGTCCCTTTTATTCAAGCTCCACTGTCTGCCCTAAGCTGGGGACTGGTCCAGCTGACCTGGACAGTACGGCACGTGGGCCCTGCCGGTCAGCGTGGTGTTGGGAAGCACTTGGGTGGGTGGTGGGTTGGGTTGTGGCCTTACCGCAGAGCCTGGGCTGCAGCTGAGAAAGCCGTCTCCTAGGACCAGGACTCTGGGTTTGGGAGGCTGGCGGTCTTGGCCCAGCAGTTCAGTGGCTGCCCGGTGTGTCTGCCTGGCCTGGCCCTCGTCTGGTTGCTGCCGTCTGGGAGGCACTTCTGCCCTTGCCCAGGCGGGGCACTGCGGGGGCGAGGACGCGGCGTGGAAGACTGCTGATTCAGGAATCGAAACTCCAGGGGCATCGTGTAGCAGAGTGATTCTAAGATGATTAAGAAAACCATCGATGATTTAAAGTGTTCACTGCAGTCCTTATTGAGTGATTTGCCACGTGCAGGGCATGTGGGGGTGGCGCACCGGGCTGCAGACATCCTTCATGACAGCAGGCAGGGGACGTCCTAGGAGTCTTGGCTGTGACAAGTGAGGTGTGAGGGCTAGAGAGGTGAACGTGTGGAATCTGTGACCCAGAAGTAGCACACTCCTTTCTTGGAAAGCAGTTAGGTATTCCATTCCTTAGTCCTTATGCCGTTGTTTAAAACGGCCAAAACCAGAGGCCTAGAGAATGTACCTGGAAGATGCAGTGAGACCATTTCTGATCCTTGTGGCCTTTCCGGGGCTCAGTTTCCTTGCTTTGGAAAGGCTGTTTTGGCAGAGGTCTGCTGTGAGGCATCTCCCTGCAGGTGCAATTTCCGGGGCTCAGTCTTCTTGCTTTGGAAAGGCTGTTTTGGCAGAGGTCTGCTGTGAGGCATCTCCCTGCAGGTGCAATTGGGCTTGTGCGTCTTTCTCAGGCTGGCATCACACAGGCCCCAGTGAACTCTGGCAAGGCTGGGAGGACTGTGACGGGGGGACCCGCTGCCTGCCCTCAGCCTGTTGGGCCCCACAGCGTGTCTCTCTGCGGACTGGTCGCCGGCTTCCTGTGGCCTGTGTGTCCTGGAGCTTTGGAACCCTGTTCGGTAGCTCGGAGCTCGTGAGCCCAAAGGGCGGGGGCCTGGTTCCTCGCCCATCCTTGCCCAGCCTGATGGCCTGTGCCTGTGGACTGTACGTGGGCACCTGCTTTAACCCCTGCAGGAGTAGGGGCCACCAGGAGCATGTGGCTCTGGGCCTCCCTGGTAGAGTCACTCACTGGCAGGAGAACTGAGTGGGACCCACCAGGCAGTGTCTGTCTCATGGACGCCCGTGGACCTGCAGCCTGGAGAGGGGGCCTGAAGTGTGTTCCGCGCTCTTGACCCCCAGGAAGCACTGGCCTCTGTTGAAAGCCTCCTGCCGCAGAGCGCTGTTGCTCTCCCGGATGGACGGCCGTGTGGGCTCCTTGCTCCAGCGATGCCAGTGCTCCTGCTGCTGTGTGTGGCTGGCTCCCCTTTGTCTCAGCCCTGGGCTTAGAGCAGGCCAGGTGCTCAGGCAGTGCTTTTGTTGATTGAAGGGGGGTGTGTACCTGGCTGCAACCTGTGGAGAGTGTGAATGGCTGGCAGAAGCCAAGGCGGGCTCTTGGGAGATGAGAGCAGGCGGCCGGCCTGGAAGCTTCCGTGGGGCTGGTCAGCTCCGGCTAGCTCTTCCTGGCACAGATCCACGCTGGGCTGGGTGCCATGGCTCATACCTGTAATCCCAGCACTTTGGGAGCCTGAGGTGGGAGGATCGCTTGAGCCTGAGAGTCCAAGGCCAGCCTGGGCAACACTGTGAGACCCCACCTCTATTTTAAAAAATAAAAATATAAAGATGGGATCATGGCGCAGGGGCAGCACAAGTTCCAGGCGCACAAGCCCGCAAAGAGCAAGACGGCAGCGGCGGCCTCTGAAAAGAATCGGGGCCCGAGAAAAGGCCGTCGTGTTATCGCTCCCAAGAAGGCGCGTGGTGTGCAGCAGCAAAAGCTCAAGAAGAACCTAGAAGTCGGGATCCAGAAGAAGATCGAACATGACGTGGTGATGAAAGCCAGCAGCAGCCTGCCCGAGAAGCTGGCACTGCTGAAGGGCCGTGGCACTGCTGAAGAATGGGGCGGCTGCCGCCACCTCCTCTGAGACACCTTCCTGAGGACGCTGGCCCCAGTGCAGGCCAACACCCCATCCCCTACCTCCATATGGGATCTTACAAGTGATCCCACAGGCTGCACTGTCAGGAAGAGGACCCGTTCCCCAGCACTGGGCTTCATCTAGAACTTGAGTGGGGGCCAAGGGTGCTGAGAACCCAGCAGTGACCAGGAAGATACAGTCACCAACTTCATCTGTCCCCATGCCCCTTCCCAGGTCCTGCCTCCACAGGTTTAACCCAGAACAATAAACCTGGCTTTGTCCCCCCCCCAAAAAAAAAAAAAAAAAAAAAATATATATATATATACACACACACACACACACATACACACACACACACACCACACACACACACACACAGCACACACACACCACACACACACACACCACACACACACACACACACACACACACACACACACATATAAAGATGGCCGGGCGCGGTGGCTCAAGCCTGTAATCCCAGCACTTTGGGAGGCTGAGACGGGCGGATCACGAGGTCAGGAGATCGAGACCATCCTGGCGAACACGGTGAAACCCCGTCTCTACTAAAAAAATACAAAAAAACTAGCCGGGCGAGGCGGCGGGCGCCTGTAGTCCCAGCTACTCGGGAGGCTGAGGCAGGAGAATGGCGTAAACCCGGGGGGCGGAGGTTGCAGTGAGCTGAGATCCGGCCACTGCACTCCAGCCCGGGCGACAGAGCCAGACTCCGTCTCAAAAAAAAAAAAAAATATATATATATATATATAAAGATAACTGCCCCCCCACCCCCCAAAAAACAAAACAAAACCCAAACTCATGGTGGACCTCGGGATGGGCAGGCGCGCTCGTGGGGCAGAGCTGGGTGTGGCTGCCCCATCCTGGGCCTGTTCCCAGGCTGGCTCCTAGAGCAGGGGCTGATGGGCCCTGTGGGTGTGGGGAGATGGGGTCCGTCACAGGCTGGGGCCTGGGACCCCGGGGCTGGGACCTGGGGGCTGGGACCGGTCTTGGTTCTCAGGCAGGGAGGGGTTGTGAACTCTGTTTGGGAATGTGTGTTTGAAGTGTCAGTGGTGTAGCCAGAAGGAGGTGTCAGACAGCAGCCCGTGTCAGGCTAATGTGGCTCCTAGAGGAGCCCTAGGGCTGGCCTGCCCAGTGAGGGGCTGGGATGAGCCGGCCTAGGGGAGTGGCAGAGCAGGAGGAGCAGATAGCTGGCCCGAGTCTGGAGGGATTTTGGCTTTTGTGGGTAGCTTGGAGCCTGAGGGCCAGTGCCCCACCAGGTCAGAGAGCTCTGCAGCCCACCAGTCCTCGTTGTGCCTGTGTCCAAGCTTGGGCCCCCGTGTGCAGGAAGAAGGTGACCGTGCAGTGCACGTCGTGTGTACCAGGCGTCAGCGGCGTGATGCGTGGGTCGGGGCTGGAGATGAGAGGAGGAGTCAGGAGAGGCTAGAAGCCCCCAGAGCAGTGGGGTTTCTTCTTTTTCTTCACTGGTGAGCACTTCTTGAGCACTTAGGTGTGCAGGCCTGGTGCTGGGTACTGGGGATACAGCTGTAAGTCAGGGGCTGTTTTCCAGTCCTCTCAGATCTAGCTGGGCATAAGTCTGGTGGGTCAAGCATGGCTCCTGAAGAGATGACAGTTGAGAGACTGGCAGCATGTTCCAGGCAGGGCGGGTGCTGGCAGCACGTGGGTTGGCCAGAGGCTGCGTGTTCGGGCAGTGTTGTGTGGCTCCAGCTGGTTGTAACCACGGTTCTCCTAGGGTGTGGCAGAAGCTGGACAGGCTGGCAGGGATCTGTCCTGAGGGTAGTTTAGACCACATCCTGCAGGTCACAGGAGCTGCAGAAGGTCTTCATCAGGGAGGAATACATCTGCCATTGTGAAGGGGTCTCTTTCCTTGCTGAATTCACAGGATGGGGACCTGGCGCCTTGGCAGGACCCTGCTGGTGGAAGTCCCTGGGGCTGTCTGAACCACTGCAGGTTTCAGCGGTCCCAAAGTCGGGGAGGGCGGGTGGTGGTTCCTTTTGTCAGCTGAGAGCCTCATGGGGCAGGAGCAGTGGAGTCAGTCGCATTGCAGTGAGTTAGAGTTGAGCTGCGCTGTTCCCGTGAGCAGGGAGCCCTGGCCGGAGGTCTTCTGACTTCTGAAGATGGTTTGTGTTGAAGGTCAGACCCTTCCCCTGTTTTTCTGTTTCCCCTTCAGGTGAATGCCTGTTCCTTTGTGACCACGGTGTCCGTGGGTAGCACTGTGGTTTTGGAGTTCCTTTGTGACCACGGCATCTGTGGGTGGCAGTGCGGTTTTGGAGTTCCTCTGTGACCACGGTGTCCATGGGTAGCACTGTGGTTTTGGAGTTCCTCCGTGACCACGGTGTCCGTGGGTGGCACTGTGGTTTTGGAGTTCCTCCGTGACCACGGTGTCCATGGGTAGCACTGTGGTTTTGGAGTTCCTTTGTGACCACGGCATCCGTGGGTGGCAGTGCGGTTTTGGAGTTCCTCTGTGACCACGGTGTCCATGGGTAGCACTGTGGTTTTGGAGTTCCTCCGTGACCATGGTGTCCGTGGGTGGCACTGTGGTTTTGGAGTTCCTTTGTGACCACGGCATCCGTGGGTAGCACTGTGGTTTTGGAGTTCCTTTGTGACCACGGCGTCCGTGGGTGGCACTGTGGTTTTGGAGTTCCTCTGTGACCACGGTGTCCATGGGTAGCACTGTGGTTTTGGAGTTCCTTTGTGACCACAGTGTCTGTGGGTAGCACTGTGGTTTTGGAGTTCCTCTGTGACCACTGTGTCTGTGGGTAGCAGTGTGGTTTTGGAGTTCCTTTGTGACCACAGTGTCCGTGGGTGGCACTGTGGTTTTGGAGACGCTCGTTTTGTTTGTTCATTTGAACATTTATTTGGAGACCTGCTGTTTGCCAGGCTTTAGGCTGGCTCTGGCGATGCCGTGACGAACACAGCACAGCCTGCCCACGTAGTGCACACACAGACAGCTTTAAACAATGAAAACAGCAGGGGGGCCTCCTCAGGTGCGTCAGTTGGAAGATGCCCAGGAGCAGTTTGCAGGAGTATCTTAGTTGGAGACAGCCTTGTTGGATATGAATGACGCTGGTGGGAATGAAGGCCAGACGTTTTTCCTGGTTTGGAAACAGGTGGCTTACAAGAGCCTCTAGAGTTTATTTGTTTAAAGACAGACCCTGTTCTCAAGAGGGTCTTCACTTTGCTGGCAGGATGGCACTGGTGACGGTGGTGGTTGGCTCTAGAGAGCTGCTGTGTAGTTGACAAAGCCCGTTGATAATAAGTGTCTCATTTGTTCTTCCTCACAATCCTGTGGACTAAGCTGGGTTCTGGGAGGAGCTGACTGGCCCAAGGGCATCCAGTGAATTTGTGGCCCTGTTGCTGGAATGCTTGGCTGATCCTGGAGCATGGTGGGCTGTGCCCTCAATAACCTCCATCCATCTGGCTGGCCACATGGTGCCATGCAGCTGGATCCTGCATTTTTGTGAGCTGATCAGCCCGATGCTGGCACTGAAAGGATTCTGTTGGGAGCTGCCATCCATTTAGCCTGAGCAGAACTCAGCACATGTGCGGGCATGAAGCCCATCAGCTGACAGCTTCTCTTTCAGACCTGATGGCTCCCAGCCGAACTCTGGCAAGAAGGGCTTACCAGCCTGCAGGACGGCTGACCTGCCTGCCTTTGCTGGGAGCCAAGCACCTCCTGGCAGGTTCTGGGATTTGGTTTTCAGTGGGAGGAGGCTCTCTGCAAGGTAGAGTAAGAGCAGTAATTACTTGGGAGAGGAAGCATTTAACTTCTGAGGCTGCAACACAATACTATCTCGTTCGCGGAGGCGGCTGAGTTAGAAGATTAGCAATTAATTTTTTATAAGGTGCAAACTACTCTTCAGTTTCATGGAACCAAACAGTCCTCCCACAGCAAGGGAGGGGCAGGCTTCCACCCCGTGTGATTTTTCGGAGCACTATTGTTTGTCTGCTTTTGAGCTGATAGGAATTATTTACGAGTCTGTGTGGAAGACATTTTGACACACAATTCTTGGTATTCCCATTTGCTCTTTCTAGTTTTTACTTTTTCTGTATTGCTAGCGTTTACTGCAGTTAGGTCTCAGGAGTATTTTGCCTTTTATTAGGATTGCAGTTACAAAATGCAGGTATCAACTAGGTTCCTTTAAATCACAGTTCACTTTTTATTGACTCGGATGAGAAAAGTACATGTTTTTCGTAGACTGAGTTGAAAAGAGTGTCATTGGTAGCATTACAAGCATTTCTTTTAGCTTCTGTGTTTTTATTGTTTACTAGAGCTTAGCTGGAGTGTTGTAGATAACCCAGTAGGGGTCACTGCTAAGTTATCTGTAAGTTTTCTAAGTTTGAGCTTTAGATTGAAACACTTTTTTTTTCTTTTTTTGAGACAGAGTCTTGCTGTGTGGCCCAGGCTGGAGTGCAGTGGTGCGATCTCTGCTTGCTGCAACCTCAGCTTGCTGCAACCTCTGCCTCCCAGGTTCAAGCGATTCTCCTGCCTCAGCCTCCCGAGTAGCTAGGACTACAGGCGCCCACCACCACACCTGGCTAATTTTTGTATTATTATATATTTTTTTAGTAGAGATGGGGTTTCGGCATGTTGGCCAGGATGGTCTTGAGCTCCTAATCTCAGGTGATCTGCCTTCCTCGGCCTCCCAAAGTGCTGGAATTATTGGTGTGAGCCACTGCACCCAGCCCAGACTTTTAATAATAGAAAATGTACTTTCTCTTGTTTCATTATTTAGTACTCTAGGTTTTCTTTGAGTTTTTGTAACTAAACAGTGGGCACCTGTGATAGGTTGGGATGGATTTAGGGCAGAGTCTGGTAAGCTTTTTCCCTAAAGGGCCAGGTATTAATAGTAAATATTTACTTGGTAGCTTTGGGGTCCATAAGGCCTCTGTTACAATTACTTGGCTCTGCCTTTGTAGCCCAGAATAGGGTGACTTGCCCTCACGGTTTGCCTGGGACTGAGGATTTTCGCGTGGGACGTGGGCCTTTCATGCTGAGACTGCGATGACCCGGGATGAACCGGGACTGTTGTTGATTTTAACATAAAAGCTGCTGTCGACAGTGTGTCAATGAGTGGATATGGCTGTGTTCCAGTAAAACTTTATTTTTAAGACAGCTGGGGTGGGAGTAGGTTTGGCCATACCTGCTAACTCCTACAAGAGGTTACAGGGCTGCCATTTAATTTTGGTTTAACCATGCAGAGGCTGGGTATAGTGGCTCACACCTGTAATCCCAGCACTTTGGGAGGCTGAGGTAGGCGGATTC